GTGTGGAGACACTGTATTTAGTGAACGTCCTGTGTGGAGACACTGTATTTAGTGAACATGCTGTGTGGAGACACTGTATTTAGTGGACGTGTTGTGTGGAGACACTGTATTTAGTGAACATGCTGTGTGGAGACACTGCATTTAGTGAACGTCCTGTGTGGAGACACTGTATTTAGTGAACATGCTGTGTGGAGACACTGTATTTAGTGGACGTGTTGTGTGGAGACCCTGTATTTAGTGAACGATCTACGTGGAGACACTGTATTTAGTGAACATGCTGTGTGGAGACACTGCATTTAGTGAACATAAGGGCAATGTATGTAGAAGTAATCTATGCTTTGAAGTTAAAGTGCTTTGTTGATGTGTGGTTTGTTTGTAGTTGATGAGGCAGTGGTGGTGTGCAGTAAGGCAGTGTGTGGTGGTGCATGGTTGTGTGCGGTGTGCAGTGAGGCGGTGTGTGGCTGGTGGTGTGAGGTTTGGCAAACCTAAATAAATCAAATAAGTAAATGAGACCTTGTAGCCACGCCTCCTTCTGACATTCTGCTTATGGATACGTGTGAGCTGAAGAAAAGCTCCACCCCCAGATTTTCTCCAGTTCAGTTTCTGACACACACAAGTTCAAGTTCTGTAAAGTTCCTGTTTGAATTATTCTATTTTTGTCTTCTAGATTTTCACAGTTTTGTTTTAAAAAGCTGGTGCACTTTTAGTGCCGTCCAGTTAAAAAAACCTGAATCTGATTTTATTGCCAAACTGTCTCTGACAGTCACTGATGTAGAAGAAACGTGCTGATGCAGAGTGGCTGTGTGTACTCTGTTCTCCAACTGAGCGTTTCATTCAGGACTTCACTGCCCGTTCCACAGCGGCCAATCAGAGATCAGCGCAGAGTTTTTGTGTAGTCGAAGCAGGTCGCCTCGGGCCGCTCTCTGACCCACCAACCCTCCATTACCGAGACTGACCTGCTACAGAACACAGAGCATTAATGAAGTGGGGCACTGCAGGACGGCACAGTTCAGGAGCACACCACTTTATTTACTCCTGCTGGACGCATATGTGGTCCAGCATGATCACCGCCTGGACAGTGACTTCAGAGTCAATGGAATCCTGATTTAATGCCAGTGAATTACAAGTTAAATGCCAGTGGAACGTCAGGGAAACCAATGGAATGCCAATTGAGAATACGTCAGCACCACCGTAGTCCTTGTCTAGAAAGCCGCCTGTGACAGCAGACTGAAGATCTGAAACATGCAAGACATTTAAGTGGTCAGAGGTCACAGTCTGACTGGTGGAGGTTGTAAATAACTTCATGGCCTGTTGTTTTGGAAGTATCTGCTGATTCCCCTGTGGAGGCGCATTCCAGGGAACAGGCAGGGCAGGTGCCCCATTGTGGCTGGGAACGGCGGCACCAGGCTGGGCTTCAGCCCCACACACGTACCCTGGACTGGAAGGGTTAAAAATATCCCAGAGTGGATGGGACGGCCTGTTTGAACTCTATAGCATCCACGCAATGGCAAGCAGACCACAAGCCTCAGGCCCCCACAAGCAAGAGCTCTGGAGATCTACAGACAGCATGGGCTTGGAGAAGATCCTGAAGGTATCAGGATGAAGGTTTGGGCTCCAGCGTTGGTCAGACCGAAGCTTTGAAGAGCAGAAGATGAGGATTGGTTTCTCACTGAGCCGAAGAACCTCCAACAAACTCAACAATTAAATTTCAACTATTGTTATTTCCGTTGTCATGGGGAACGCAGCGATGTGCAGACTGTGTGGATCTGATAAAGGCCCTCAGGCTGTGGGAAGTGACCCGTATCTGGACCGTTACTGTGATTTTGGACCCGATGCTATGTGGAGCGTGGTAAGACCTAGCGAACTTCAGTATCAGTTGGGATGGTTTTGGATTCCCTTGAGCTCTTTAGTGTTCTGGTGTTCTTACATGGTGCTCTAGTCCAGGATTGCATGCATTGTACTCTTTCCTTATAGGTGAACACCTTCACTGCACTGCATCCCCAAACCTCCTCGATGTAATCAATCAGCCAAGACATGTTTGGTGTCTGATGTTAGCCTCTGTAGAGCTACAAGGCTAATGTAGCTAACAATCAACTCTCCGCAGACTGTGTGGAGGTGTTCAGTATCTCTAATAGACTTGATTATGTGGTTTCTGACACTGCATGACTCACTGTAATCTGTAAACAGGGATAAAGTGCACAGGATAGGTAGGCCAATTTGGTAGATGCAATTTCCAAGTGCGCAATGTCATAACATCAGGCTATAGCCTGTTGCTAACAGCGGTGCAGCCACTATTATACCTTTTCTAAAGCTTCCATTCTAATACAAAACAGCAGGACTGTTCAGCACCTTCCTTCACTGACGAATCGCAGACTTCTGTCCTCAATGATTACTACAAAAGCAGATGTTAAAATATGTTAGAAAAATGTGTGTATCTAGCGGGACGGTTGGCTACTCATACAGTTAACCAAACATAATTCAGCCTAATGTACCAGTTGGTTTTGAATTATATTATATAATACTGTTATTGTTTTTTGAAAAATATTTGCCTGTTTTTGAATTTGATGCCAACAACACGTTCCAAAAAAGTTGGGACGGGGGCAACAAAAGGCTGGTACAGTTGTGTAATGCTAAAAAAAACACCTGGTGGTTGATTGGCAACAGGTCAGTAACATGATGGGTCTAAAAGAGCATCTAAGAGAGGCGGAGTCTTTCAGAAGTAAAGATGAGGAGGAGTTCACCACTCTGTGAAAAACTGAACCATCAAATAGTGCAACAATTCAATACGTTTATTGTACGAATATACGAATAACAGTACAGTACATAATAACATTAAAAGACAAGGCCAAAAACCAGTATTTGCTGGCTGTGATCTTTGGGCCCTCAGGTGGCACTGCATTAAAAACAGACATGAGTCTGTAGTGGAAATCACTGAATGGGCTCAGAAACACTTCTGAAAAACACTGTCTGTGAAAACAGTTCATCACTGCATCCACAAATGAGTTAAAACTCTAAAACGCAAGGAAAAGTGTCAACGAATCAACATTTGAAATTCTTTTTGGAAATCATGGACACTGTGTCCTCCGGGCTAAAGACCACTCAGCTTGTTATCAGTGCACAGTTCAAAAGCCGGTATTCATGATGGTATAGGGGGCATTAGTGCACATGGCATGGGTGATGTGCACATCTGTGAAGGCACCATTAATGCTGAATAATATATACATGTTTTGGCAACATATGCGGCCATCCAGACGACGTCTTTTTCAGGGAAGCTGAATAATCAGGGCCTTGATTATTTCAGCAAGACGATGCCAAACCACATTCTGCATGTATTACAACAGCATTGCTCCATATTGAAAAACTCTGGGTGCTAAACTGACCTGCCTGCAGTCCAGATTTGTCACCCACTGATTTTATTTGGCACATTATGAAATGAAAAATATGGCAAGGGAGACCCCGAACTGTGGAGCAGCTGAAATCCTGTATCAACAAGAACAGGAAAATATTTCACTTTCTAAGCTACAGCAGTGTCTCCTCAGTTCCCAAACCCTTACAGAGTGCTGTGAAAAGAAGAGGTGATGAGACACAGTGGTAAACAGGCCCCAACAGTATGTTAGAGTGGTTTTGGATAGTTTGGGGAGATTTAATATGTTTTAGTATGTTACATAATAATTAAAATCATTTTACATTAGACATAATGTTTGGGGTGGTTTGGAGTGATTTAGGATGTTTGGGGTGGTTTTGGGTGGTTTGGAGTGATTTAGTATGTTTGGGGTGGTTTGGAGTGATTTATTATGTTTGCTGTACTTCGGGGTGATTTAGTATGTTTAGGGTGATTAGGGGTGGTTTGAGATAGTTTGGGGTGGTTTGGAGTGATTTAGTATGTTTGGGGTGGTTTGGAGTGATTTAGTATGTTTGGGGTGGTTTGGAGTGAGTTAGTATGTTTGGGGTGGTTTGGAGTGAGTTAGTAGGTTTGGGGTGATTTGGAGTGAGTTAGTATGTTTGCGATGGTTTGGGGTAATTTAGTATGTTTAGGGTGATTTGGGGTGGTTTGAGGTAGTTTGGGGTGGTATGGGAATGTTTGAGGTGGTTTGGAGTGATTCAGTATGTTTGGGGTGGTTTTGGGTGGTTTGGAGTGATTTAGTGTGTTTGCAATGGTTTGGTGGTGATTCAGTATATTTGGGATGATTAGTGGTAGTGTGATGTAGTTTTGGGTGGTATGGGAATGTTTGGAGTGGTTTAGAGTGTATTAGTATGTTTGGCTTGGTTTTGGGTGGTTTGCGGTGATTTTGTATACTTAGTATGTTTGAGGTGATTAGGGGTGGTTTGAGGTAGTTTAGGGTGGTATGGGAATGTTTGGGGTGGTTTGGAGTAATGTAGGATGTTGGGGTGATTTAGTATGTTTGGGGTGATTAGGGGTGGTTTGAGGTAGTTTAGGGTGGTATGGGAATGTTTGGGGTGGTTTGGAGTAAGGTAGGATGTTGGGGTGAATTAGTATGTTTGGGGTGATTAGGGGTGGTTTGAGGTAGTTTAGGGTGGTATGGGAATGTTTGGGGTGGTTTGGAGTAATGTAGGATGTTGGGGTGATTTAGTATGTTTGGGGTGATTAGGGGTGGTTTGAGGTAGTTTAGGGTGGTATGGGAATGTTTGGGGTGGTTTGGAGTAATGTAGGATGTTGGGGTGATTTAGTATGTTTGGGGTGATTAGGGGTGGTTTGAGGTAGTTTGGGGTGGTATGGGAATGTTTTGGGTGATTTGGAGCGTTTGGGGTGGTTTTGGGTGATTTAGTATGTTTGGGGTTATTAAGGATGGTTTGAGATAGTTTGGGGTGGTTTTGGGTGATTTAGTACGTTTGGGGTTATTAAGGGTGGTTTGAGATAGTTTGGGGTGGTTTTAGGTGGTTTGGGGTGATTTAATATGTTGGGGTGACTGTATTTGCCACACTTTGCTGCTTTAACATTAATTTTGATTCACGTGTCTGTGTTTGTGTTTTTTCTGCAGTCGGACAGTAACACTAGTTTCCTGAGGGCAGCAAGAGCTGGGAACGTTGAGAAAGTTCTGGAGCTTCTAAAGAGTGGACAAGACATCTCAACCTGTAACCAGGTAAGACTACACTGTCTTATTTTGTCTATGTGTGTAATTAGGCTTAGGGTTAATCAGCAGCCCACCAATTAACTTAAATATCTTTTTTCATGGGGCGGCACGGTGGGTAGTGCTGTCGCCTCACAGCAAGAAAGGCCAATTGGAGGCACTAAATTGCCCCTAGGTGTGAATGTGTGTGTGAATGTGTATGTCTGTGTGTGTCTGCCCTGTGATGACTGGCGACCTGTCCAGAGTGTTTCCTGCCTTCCACTTAATGAGCACTGGGATAGGCTCCAGCACTCCCTGCGACCCAGGAGAATAAGAGCCTTCAAGGTGAACGAATGAATCTTCGTGTAATTAGGACTTTAGCAGATAGTGGGCTGGTGGTATTTGTGCTGACTGCAATTAAATTATATGTTTAGGTGCTTGGGGTGATTATTTGGTAGTTAGTGTATTTGAGGTGACCATATTTGGTGGTTAGAATGTTTAGGGTGACTATTTGGTCGTTAGAGTGTTTGAGGTGACTATTTTTGGTGGTTAGAGTGGTTGAAGTGACTATATATTTGGTGTTTAGGGTGTTTGGGCTGACTATATATTTGGTGTTTAGGGTGTTTGGGCTGACTGTATATTTGGTGGTTAGGGTGTTTGGGGCGACTATATTTGGTGGTCTGAGTATTTGGGGTGACTGTATATTTGGTGGTGAGAGTGTTTATGGTTAATGTATATTTGGTGGTTTAGAGTGTTTGAGGTGACTGTATAGTTGGTGGTTAGAGTGTTTATGGTGACTGTATATTTGGTGGTTAGTGTTTAGGGTGACTATATTTGGGGTGACTGTATATTTGGTGGTTAGAGTGTTTGGGGTGACTGTATATTTGGTGGTTAGAGTGTTTGGGGTGACTATATTTGGTGGTTAGAGTGTTTATGGAGACTGTATATTTGGTGGTTAGTGTTTGGGGTGACTGTATATTTGGTGTTTGGGGTGACTGTATATGTGGTGGTTGGAGTGTTTGAGGTGACGGTATGTTTGGTGGTTTGGGTGTTTGGGGTGACTGTATTTGGTGGTTTGGGTGTTGCTCATTTTTTTCACAGTGTTGCAGTGAGTAAAAGCAGCAGTTCTGCAGGTTTTTCACTCTGTGCAGCACTGGGTGATGTAATTTTTACCCTCTGTGATCCAGACTGTACAGAATGTTATTACAGAGTGAGAGAGAGTAAATTTAGAAATCCTTTTAAATACGGCAGCATATGAAACCTGCAGATTTTCGCTGTCCCCTGTGTGTGTGTGTGTGTGTGTGTGTGTGTGTGTGTGTGTGTTCTGTAGTTCTGTAGAGCTCAGCTGTTCGACTGAAACAGCTGTTCATTCCCTGCCCCCCCTCACTGAGCCCCCGTTTGAGCTCCCCCTACAGAGCCTCATCACCCAAGCAAAGAACAGAATGCACAACTCATTCACGGTCAGCCTGAACACGCACTCAGCACATAAACACACACGTACAGTGGGTAATGTGCTGTAGTGTAAAGCCTGTAAAACCTGATGTTCATATATGTCTGCCGAAGGTCATTCAGTGATGATTCAGTCTGACTAACCTTGCCTCGGTCCAGCCTCTGTATCAGAGTGACCGCTGCTGCAGCTGCTGTTTTAATTTAATTCAATTTAATTTAACTTGCACACTGTCTTTGCTTAAAACAAGAGAATAAAAGACATACAGATAGTTAATTTAGCTGTTATTTCATGTACACTAACCATCTAACAAGCTGATGTTTTTACCTAATTAACTTTAAATTAAATGTAAATTAAATTCACAGAGAATTATCATAAAATTTTGTTTTGTAGCATGAGATTAATATAACCCAGGGCTATTTCTATGGTCTGTTTTATAGCATGAGATTAATATAATTTGGGATTATTTCTGTTTTTTTTATAGCAGAGGATTATTATAACCTGGGAGTATTTCTACAGTTTGTTTTATAGCTCAGGATTAATATAACCTGGGACTATTTCTATGATATGGTTTATAGTACGGGATTAATATAACCCAGGGCTATTTCTATGGTTTGTTTTATAGCACATGATAACAATAACCTTGGATTATTTCTATGGTTTGTTTTATGACACAGGATTAATATAACCTGGGGTTATTTTTTTGGTTTATTTTATAGCACAGGACAAAATATAACCTGGGGTTATTTGAATGGTTTGTTTCATAGCACAGGATAAAATAACCTAAGATTATTTCTGTTTTGTTTTAAAGCATGGGATTAATGTAACCTGAGGTTATTTTTTATGGTTTTGTTTTATAGCACAAGATTAATATAACCTGGGTTTATTTCTACAATTTGTTTTATCCTGCAGGATTAATATAACCTGGGATTATTTTTATGGTTTGTTTTATAGCACAGGATTAATATAACCTGGGATTACATCTATAGTTTGATTTGTAGAAGGTAAAATCTGCCAGGACAAATCACTCAGCAGAACTAAGACTCAACAGAAGACACTCTTTATAATCATGAGGAAGAACCTCTAAGAAATTCCATGTTTTCAGACAACAGTACCCAGTATTAGCTCAGTTAGTGCAAATAGCACAGATCCTAGAACAGATCCTTGTGGAACACCTTATTTTACTATAGTATTTACTGATGTTTCACTGTTTACAAACTGACAGAAGTCTAAATGTTCCTGTGTGACCAAAGCTTTTACAAGTGGCCAATCAGGCCTGCACTAACACAGTGACAATATGAATGTGACCATTTGTGCTTTAATCATGTGGACTGCAGCGGCTCCTGGGTTCCTGTGAACGTTACATAAATCCCTTGTTCACTAAATCACTCCTCCAGCGTGGTTATTTCATCAGCTGATGGACCGAATGTGGAGGAGAGTTTAATCTCTTTCAGTCCAAACTGTAAAACTGTAAAAGAGCAAAATGCTGAGTTCCAAACCCGCCACCTGCCCTCATCTCCTAATGCATAAACCGCTATTGTGTAACCGCAGAGCAGTTAGCAAAACTGACAGAGTTAATCTGATTTAAATAGTGACCACTAGGGGGAGTCAGGGTGACCATATAGAGAGTTAATCTGATTTAGATAGTGACCAGTAGGGAAGTCGCCAGTCAGAGCACTGAGAGAGATGAACTCAGTGACAGACAGAAAAGGTTACCAAAGAGAAAGAGAGAACAGGGGAGAAAGAGAGAAAAGAGATAATGACAGAGAAATTACAGAGAGAGAAAATTAGAGAGAGGAAGAGAGAAATTAGAGAGTAGGAGAGAAATAAAAGAAATGAAATAGAAGAAAGCAAATAAGTGTGAAAAGAAGCCTAAAGAGGAAGAGAAAAGAAAGGAAGAGGCAAGAGGAAGAGAAGATTAGAGAGCGAGAGAGAGAAAGAGACAGAGAATGAAAAGAGATTTAGAGAGAAAGAGAGAGAGAGTTCTATCCTCAGGTCATCATGTGTTTAATAAGCTCTGACGACAGGCTGTTAATTAGTAGAAATCAGAGACATTATAAAGGAGGAGGAGACGCTCACTGGTTGAAATATGAATGTGAAGGCTTGTCTGTTTCTCGAGAAAGTCCCGCCCCTCAAGAAAAAGAGCCAGTCGGCTTGCTGGTTATATGGGGGGAGGAAATGCCCCCCCCCCCTCGCTGTGGAGATCTGTGCAAGCACCATAACCAGAACAACCCGAAAAATCACATTTTAGTATGTTATTCAACCAAATGCTACAAACTACTTGTGATGTTTTCGTCTCAACAAATCTGTGTTTAAGTGATAATTTGACCTCCAGTTTGAGGTGTTTTAGTGTCCTCCCTTTCAGAGAGAGAGGAGTCTGGTCTTGTAAGGCTGGAAATAACTGCCTAGCGGCGCCACAAATATGAAAACTTTCCTGTAAGGACTTTGTTTAAACTCCACACGGTTTGAGGGTTAAATCAAGTTTCTTGCTTGTCTGTACAGAATGGGCTGAACGCTCTTCATCTGGCTGCTAAAGAAGGTCATGTGGAGCTGGTGGAGGAGCTGCTGGAGAGAGGAGCAGCGGTGGACTCAGCTACCAAGGTATGGAGTGTGTATACATCTGTGTGTGTGTGTAAACACTGAGCGGTCACTTCATAAGGAACACCTGTAAAGAGACCCATCATACTGCGCTTGTTAAAGCAGTTTTACAGAAAATCTGGTGTCGTGTCCCAAACAGTCACTGTACCCTACATTTGAAGATCTATACTACTATATAGAGCACTGTTATAGGGAGCAGAATACGTGATGGTAGTAAACGATTTCGGACACTAACGTAATACAGGTTTGCTTATTACTTACAAACAACGCAGTGCATTATGGATACACCCAATCTGCTAGGGTATATCTGTTGTACACGACAGGAGTGGTGGAGTCCATGGAGTCATGAGTCCCTCAGGGTCCTACACGCTCTGATTTTAGCTGTTCTCCACTTTAACTCTCTGTCCTGCTCTCTGATTGGCTGTGCAGAAAGGAAACACCGCCCTCCACATTGCCGCATTGGCCGGGCAGAAGGAGGTGGCGAAGCTGTTAGTGAAAAGAGGAGCAGATGTCAACGCCCAATCACAGGTAAGAATCATAAATATCTTAAACAGTCCCAGCTGAGAATACTTAAAATTCTGGAAACATTTGTCAGAATGAAGAGCTCTGTGTGGATCAATTTCAGCCCCACAAACACTGAGTGCATTTACACTTAATAATCTGATAACTTTAGAAAATCAGATTGTCAGTAACTGGTTCAGTGCATTTACACTTAATAATCTGATAACTGCAGAAAATCAGATTGTCAGTAACTGGTTCAGTGTATTTACACTTAATAATTTGATAACTGCAGAAAATCAGATTGTCAGTAACTGGTTCAGTGTGTTTACACTTAATAATTTGATAACTGCAGAAAATCAGATTGTGTCGGTAACTGGTTCAGTGTGTTTACACTTAATAATCTGATAACTGCAGAAAATCTGATAGTGTCAGTCACTGGTTCAGTGTTTTTACATTTAACAATCTGATAACTGCAGAAAATCAGATTGTGTCAGTAACTGGTTCAGTGTGTTTACACGTAATAATCTGATAACTGCAGAAAATCAGATTGTGTTGGTAACTGGTTCAGTGTGTTTACACTTAATAATCTGATAACTGCAAAAAAACAGATTGTGTCAGTAACTGGTTCAGTGTGTTTACACTTAATAATCTGATAACTGCAGAAAATCAGATTGTGTTGGTAACTGGTTCAGTGTGTTTACACTTAATAATCTGATAACTGCAGAAAATCTGACTGTCAGTAACTGGTTCAGTGTATTTACACTTAATAATCTGATAACTGCAGAAAATCAGATTGTGTCAGTAACTGGTTCAGTGTATTTACACTTAATAATCTGATAACTGCAGAAAATCAGATTGCGTCAGTAACTGGTTCAGTGTATTTACACTTAATAATCTGATAACTGCAGAAAATCAGACTGTCAGTAACTGGTTCAGTGTGTTTACACTTAATCTGATAACTGCAGAAAATCAGACTGTCAGTAATTGGTTCAGTGTATTTACACTTAATAATCTAATAACTGCAGAAAATCAGATTGTGTCAGTAACTGGTTCAGTGTGTTTAAACTTAATCTGATAACTGCAGAAAATCAGACTGTCAGTAACTGGTTCAGTGTATTTACACTTTATAATCTAATAACTGCAGAAAATCAGATTGTGTCAGTAACTGGTTCAGTGTATTTACACTTAATAATCTGATAACTGCAGAAAATCAGACTGTCAGTAACTGGTTCAGTGTGTTTACACTTAATCTGATAACTGCAGAAAATCAGACTGTCAGTAATTGGTTCAGTGTATTTACACTTAATAATCTAATAGCTGCAGAAAATCAGATTGTGTCAGTAACTGGTTCAGTGTGTTTAAACTTAATCTGATAACTGCAGAAAATCAGACTGTCAGTAACTGGTTCAGTGTATTTACACTTAATAATCTAATAACTGCAGAAAATCAGATTGTGTCAGTAACTGGTTCAGTGTTTTTTGGGCAATCAGATAATGGGGAAACTCCAGATCTACATCAGTCAGGCACTTCTGCTTTACAACCTGCCAATACGTAACGTAAAACTCAAACATCACGAGCAGCTTTTTTTTAAAACATTGAGTCAGTTTAGCTGAAAATATGAGCATACATCATCTAGAAGATGAAGAATATTTAAATCCTTCATTTCGTTGAGCATGTAGTCGGTTTCAGCGCCGCTCCAAAAGTGCTGTGTTGGTCTCATGAGTGCTGTGTTAAACGCTGTTTCCGGTACAGCGCTCTGTTTTCACATATGCCTAGACTTAGAGAAACGAAAGAAATCAGAGTGAGAGGTTACATGCACTGAAAAACCCCATAACTGAGCTCAGATCCAGCCTCTTTATCAGATTTCTTAATCAGATTTATAGACCTCAGTCTGATCTAAGAAATCAGAGTGTGCTGTTGACACTACCATTTAATAGTCAGATAGCTACAGAAATCTGATAATGATCAGATTGTTAAGTGCATGTAAACACACTCAGTGTTAAAGGACCTTCAAGCGTAGCAGAGCTGAGAGGTATTAATGTAAGTGCGTTCCTGCAGAACGGGTTCACTCCTCTGTACATGGCCGCTCAGGAGAATCACCTGGACGTGGTGCGCTACCTGCTGGAGAACGGCGGCAACCAGAGCACAGCCACCGAGGTGAGACTTCACTGACCTTTAAACTCATCCTTCAGGTCACCACCAGCCAGTGACCTCTCCCCGAACCACCTTGTCCATCTTATTCAGATAAAAGTCAAAATATCCATATACGTTATATAGCTATATACGTTTAGTTTTATATATAAAAAGAGTCCATATCTTACGTTTATTTGAATATTAATTGTCCACTTGATAATGATAATGTTCGTATGATTTTATGTACCAAAAACAGTCATAATTCACTTTAACATGATCATTTTACAGCCTCTCTTTATCTCTTACAAAATGTTTTTCAGACTAATGGATGTAAATTAGCTCTGTTCTGATTCACTGTCCTGTATTGTGCTTCATGTAAAAAACTTAATATGTGGAACTAAACTGCTGTTAATGCTGACTAATGCTAGACAACTGCTTGATGTGTGGTGCTAAACTGCTGTAGGTTAAATGGGTGGAGCTCAACTGCTGTAGCTGAATGGTGGAGCTCAACTGCTGTAGCTGAATGGTGGGGCTAAACTGCTGTAGACTGAATGGTGGGGCTAAACAGCTGTAGACTGAATAGGTGGGGCTAAACTGCTGTAGACTGAATAGGTGGGGCTAAACTGTTGTAGACTGAATGGTGGAGCTAAACTGCTGTAGCTGAATGGTGGAGCTAAACTGCTGTAGCTGAATGGTGGAGCTAAACTGCTGTTTTTAAGAGGTGCTTTCTGAGTGTTTATGTTTTGGTTGCGTGTTTCTCTCTCTGCAGGATGGTTTCACTCCGTTGGCCATTGCGCTACAGCAGGGTCACAACCAGGTGGTCTCTCTGCTGTTGGAGTACGACACTAAGGGTAAAGTTCGGCTCCCTGCGCTCCACATCGCCGCCCGTAAAGACGACACGAAATCCGCGGCCCTGCTGCTGCAGAATGACCACAACGCTGACGTCCAGTCTAAGGTGAGAACACTAAACCCCCATCCACAGAATTGGTGGGTTGACGCCATTACTTACTTTCAGGTCATTTATCCATCTTAACCACAGATTAAATTACTAATCTGTCAAGTGAAACACTATTAGTGTTCTGACAATACAGGAATTTCCATCTTTGAAAAGCATCATTACTCAATACTACTTTCAACATTACAAGAAGCGGAGGTTCTCCACTAATCACTGATCTCATTTCTGAGTTTAAAGAATGACTGACCGCACAGAATGCAACAACAGATTGCACACAAACAACAGAGCTTAAAGATATTTAGATATCAGAATATCAGAAACTCCTGCTGACCCATTAACATGCACTTTTAAATTTTGTTTACGATGAGAGCCGAATACAGTCATAAAATTACAAACATGGGCCATCTTTGCATAACAATGAATATGTGATATAATATGGATAGTTTTGATAGGTGATAGGTGAGTATTGGTGCTGTTTCAAAATTTCAGAATCAATATCTGTCTATATAGCAATATTATTATTTATTTATTTTTTTGGATTTTAACCCAGTTATCTCCCCAATTTAGTCGTCCCCCAATCACACGATACTATCAGGGTGAAGGCTAACACAGGCTTCCTCTGAGACCTGTAAAGCACCACCGCTTCTTTTTGAACTGCCGCTGACGCAACGTCATTGGACAGCTGAACGCGCTCTGAGGAAAGCGCCAACCGCCAGATCTGTTACGTCAGCTAAGAGAAACCTGCGCTGACTAGCATCGCGTTAAGTGATGGATTCATATGGACATTATAGAGCTTTTTAAATGAAACAGTAGAAGCCATATCGCCCCCTCCACTTCCTGTAGTGTATTACAGTCTGTCAGAGTGACTGTGTGGATCATATGAACATTATAGAGGCTTTTTAAATGAAACAGTAGAAGCCATATCGCCCCCTACACTTCCTGTAGTGCACTACAGTCTGTCAGAGTGACTGTGTGGATCATATGAACATTATAGAGGCTTTTTAAATGAAACAGTAGAAGCCATATCGCCCCCTACACTTCCTGTAGTGTATTACAGTCTGTCAGAGTGACTGTGTGGATCATATGAACATTATAGAGCTTTTTAAATGAAACAGTAGAAGCCATATCGCCCCCTACACTTCCTGTAGTGTATTACAGTCTGTCAGAGTGACTGTGTGGATCATATGGTCATTATAGAATTTGTAGGAAAAGTTAGTATTGGGGTTAACATTATTGATCAGTTCTGTTAAACAGCAGCATATATTGTGTTTTTTTCTCTGTACAGATGATGGTGAACAGAACCACTGAGGTACTGAAACTCTCTCAGCTCACTGTTAAACTCTCTTTGCGTCTGTCTGTCCACTCTACAGCACACCTGCACACACCTGTCCACTCCACAGCATGCCTGCACACACATGTCCACTCTACAGCACACCTGCACACACATGTCCACTCTACAGCATGCCTGCACACACACGTCCACTGTATAGCCTATATAACTCTAATTACGCTTAGTAACTCATGGTGCACTGACAGGATGATATGTGTGTGTGTGTGTGTGTGTGTGTGTGGGTGTGTGTGTGTGTGTGTGAGTGTGTATAGGTGTAGTTTTATCTGGAGATGCTCTCAGGGGGCTCCTATTTTTTAACCCCCGCAGAGTGATAGTTTGTGTGAGAAATGTATAAACAGTGCAGGTCCTTCTGTCCAGCTCTCATAATCCAGATAATAAAACAGAATTATACATGGGCTGACATCTAGCTGAAACACAAACACACCCGTTTCCATGGTCACACTACACTCATTTCATGTTTACACTACGCCCACTCCAATGGTTACACTAAACTGTTTCCATGGTTACTCTACGCACAGTTCCATAGTTACACTACACCCACTTCCATAGTTACACTACACCCACTTCCATGGTTACACTACACCCACTCCCATGGTTACACTACACCCACTTCCATAGTTACACTACACCCACTTCCATGGTTACACTACACCCACTCCCATGGTTACACTACACCCACTTCCATAGTTACACTACACCCACTTCCATGGTTACACTACACCCACTCCCATGGTTACACTACACCCACTTCCATGGTTACACTACACCCACTTCCATAGTTACACTACACCGACTTCCATGGTTACACTACACCCACTCCCATGGTTACACTACACCCACTTCCATGGTTACACTACACCCACTTCCATGGTTATACTACACCCACTTCCATAGTTACACTACACCCACTTCCATAGTTACACTACACCTACTCCCATGGTTACACTACACCCACTTCCATGGTTACACTACACCCACTTCCATAGTTACACTACACCCACTTCCATAATTACACTACACCCACTTCCATGGTTACACTACACCCACTTCCATAGTTACACTACACCCACTTCCATGGTAACACTACACCCACTTCCATGGTTACACTACACCCACTTCCATAGTTACACTACACCCACTTCCATGGTAACACTACACCCACTTCCATGGTTACACTACACCCACTTCCATGGTTATACTACACCCACTTCCATAGTTACACTACACCGACTTCCATAGTTACACTACACCCACTTCCATAATTACACTACACCCACTTCCATGGTTACACTACACCGACTTCCATAGTTACACTACACCCACTTCCATGGTTACACTACACCCACTTCCATGGCTACACTACACCCTTTTCCATGGTAACGCCATGCCTATTTCCATGGTTACACTTCACCTATTTCCATGTTACCGTAACGTTAATTTCCATGGTTATGCTATATCAGTTTTCATATTTACCTTACACCCATTTTCATGTTTATATGACTTCATGACACATTTCTATGGTTACGCTTAGAGTGATGAGTTGTAAGAAGACAGGCCCCATTACTGCAGGAATGTTATTACAATATGTGGTCTTTTTTGTTTCACTTGTTGATGATATTAGGCAGAAAAAGGAGATGTAATAATAATTATAATAATAACAAGTTACATTTATAAAGCACCTTTCACAATCCCAAGGTCGCTTCACATAACATAAGGGAAAAAAAAACGTTAAAAAAAAAACGTTACTTGGTGACGTTATTTGATGATAGGAGCAGTTTTCTCATCATGCTTTAGCAGAATAACAGCGAAATTAACATGGTGCCAACATTAATGTTAGCTGCCTTAGAGAACCTTGGAGATCTCTGAGAGCTAAAGTCATCTGACACTCACTGTTGCTTTATATTAAATGTGACCACAGTAACATGACATTAAATCAGCCAAACACAAACGTTAGCTTGCAGTGTGTGTGTGTGTGTGTGTGTGTGTGTGTGTGTGTGTGTGTGTGTGTGTGTGTGGTCTTCTTTTTGATTCTTTTGATCTCCGTCTCTTGCATGCCACTGACAGAAACACCCTGCCAGACATTTCAGTTTACAGTTCTTTCTGTTCTCCGTTTGTTTGTCATTGATTCATTGATTTTACATCTGGTTTCTGTTTTGTAGTGAACATTTTTAGATGGTGGGTATTTTAGATACAGTTAAATAAAGTTATATGGGTGAAGTTTAGATAAGGGTCTTATAGATAAAGGTGTTATTGTTTAGATGTTGGTTGTATCTTAATGTATAAACTGTAGGTTTAAGCCAGAGCGAGCGGGTTAGTGGATGATGCATGTCTGCTCGCTGTGCAGCATCTGCAGTTTGATCTCTCAGGATGTGTAGAGTTTTTTTTTTAGTTCTTTTTCGCTGCACCCTTTTGTTAATTTTGTCTCTCAAATTGCACCATGTCTGTCAGAGCGGAAAGGTAAGGCACGGCCCCACCACACAGATCCATCCACACAAATGCTCATCTCCAATGATCAAGTAGATATTAGCTGCAGTGATTAGTGGCTATAGCTTCGTTTTGTTTGACCGACCTTTCTTCAGTTCTTTAGTGCTTGTTCTCTTCCTTCAGCTTTTTCCATCCGTTTGCTTAAAGACTCATATGAGACTCATATGGGAAGCCTGTGCGACTGAGCTCATACGATGGAAAAAGAGTATATATTTTTTTTAATTATGTGCTTTTCTTTGGCTGTGTTTACTGCATGTACTGCTGTTTCCGCTGTTTTCTGACACAGTATCCAGTTCATCTCCTCTTTTCTCTTTTTCTTTTCTTACTTGCACAGCTGTGGTGCTCCATCGGCATGCTGCATGGCTCTAACCTGCTGTTTACATGCAGGAACTAAACATCTCTCTTTCTTTCTCTCGTTCATTCCTTCCCTCTTTCTTTTTGTCCTTCTCCCTCCTTTCCTTCCCTTTGTTTTCTTGAGCAGAGTGGATTTACTCCTCTCCACATTGCTGCTCATTACGGAAATGTGAACGTTTCTACACTGCTGCTGAACCGCGGCGCCGCCGTGGACTTCACTGCCCGGGTAACCTCTCAGCCAGTCACAGACCAGAGCTTTACACCTTCAGCCAATCACAGACCAGAGCCTAACACGTTCAGCCAATCACACTCCAGTCTTACACCTTCAGTCAATAACAAACCAGTGTCTCATCTCCTCATCCAGTCACAGCTAGAGATTTACTCCTCTCAGCCAACCACAGCCAAAGTCTTGTACCCTCACACAATCACAGACAGAGTCCTACACCTTCAGCCAATCACAGACGAAGGGTGCTACACCCTCACCCAATCACAGAACGAAGAGTCCTACACCTTCTGCCAATCACAGACCGGCAGAGTCTTACACCTTAAGCCAATCACAGACCAGAGTCCTACACCTTCAGCATTCACAGACCAGAGGCCTACAACTTACGCCAGTTACAGACCCATCTTACACCTTAAGCCAATCACAGGCCAGAGTCCTACATCTTTAGCCAATCATAGACAAAGAGTCCTACACCTTCAGCCATTCACAGACGAAGAGTCCTACACCTTTTACCAATCACAGACCAGAGTCCTACACCTTCAGCCAATCACAGTCTTAAGTCTCAACCAATCTCAGCAAATCACAATTCAGGGCCCAGTGTTGTTAGGACTTTAATTTTAATATTTATTATTTGTTATTTGGAGTGGTGTTGTGTTAATATACAGGTATTAGAAGTATTATATTAATATTGTTATTAGAGTGTCGTTTTAATGTTGTTATTAGGAGTTTCATATTGTCCCCCTTTCCCGTACAGAATGGTATAACCCCTCTCCATGTGGCCTCTAAAAGGGGAAATACCAACATGGTGGCACTGCTACTGGACAGGGGGGGGCAGATTGACGCTAAAACCAGAGTGAGTGCTTCAGCTTACATCTTTAACCTATGACCAATCAGAGACTTACATCTTCAGCCAATCACAGACCAGGGTCTTATATCCTCAGCTATTCACAGACCAGAGTCATATATTCTCAGCCAATCACAGACCAGAATCTTAAACTTTGAGTCAATCACCAACCGGAGTCTAACGCCTTGAGCCAATCACAGACCAGAGTCTGACACCTTATACAGCCATTCAGCCTAAAGCAGTTTAGCCACACTCCTATAATTAATCAGCGGTAATTGTAGGATGTGAGTCAGAGATACAGGCCACTGTCTAAATCCAGAGTGAGAGTTGTAGCGCCTCCTGCTGCCAATGCACAGAAGTGCTCATTCTGAATGTGAAGCTGAATGTAAGTGTGCATACAGAAGGATATAAACATGTCTGTGATGGTGATAATAAGCTGTGAGTGAAAATTGTATTTGTTTTGAACAGGATGGACTGACTCCTCTACACTGTGCAGCGCGGAGTGGTCATGACCCAGCAGTGGAGCTCCTGTTGGAGAGAGGAGCTCCAATACTTGCCAGAACCAAGGTACACAAACACACTAACACACACACTAACACACAGGGAAATTCACACTGTACTGTAATGAATCCTGTAAGAAACGTAAGATTTGCAACCCAAAGAGACCCAAAGATTTACCAGAAATTTGAAAGATTTGTGACCCAAAGAACCCCAAATATTTGCAAGAATTTCCAAAGATTTGTGACCCATAGAAACCCAAAACTTTGCAACCCAAAATAACTAAAGATTTGCAACCCAAAGAACCCCAAAGATTTGCAAGAAATTCAAAATATTTGTGACATGAAGTAGAAACGGCAGCCAAGGCTTTTTTGTTTTTGTTAAAGCTGTGAATTACTGTAATTACACCATAGTTAGCTGTGTATTTAAAATGCTAACTCGCTCACTGGATTTTGCAGAACAAGATTTGGAAATGAGATGCTGAGCAAAAACATCTGCCCTAAATCTGATGGGTTTATGGGATCACTTGACGACAATGTCTTCCAACATTCCCACCTACCTCAAACCCAATAGAGGAAAAGAGCCAAAATCTCATAATCAAAATGACCAATACTGGTCTTTAATTTGTAGTCAGTAATACAGTCACGCAGGAGTTGAAACCTAACAGCATGAAGACATTAAAAGAATATCTGAGCAGTTTATTTCAGTTGGTATTTTCAGCACTCTTTGCTCCCCAAGCCATGATAATAATGATGATGATGATGATGATGAACAGTAGAGCTGCTCCACACTAATGTTTTGTTTATATCTTCTTTGCGTATGTGTGGCCAGAATGGATTGTCCCCGCTGCACATGTCCGCTCAGGGTGACCATGTGGAGTGTGTGAAACACCTGCTGCAGCACAAGGCACCCGTTGATGATGTCACTCTGGACTACCTGACTGCCCTTCATGTTGCCGCCCACTGCGGCCACTACAGGGTCACCAAACTGCTGCTGGACAAGAGAGCCAATCCCAATGCACGAGCACTGGTAACACAAACAGTGAAGCAAAAAATCACCTGAACACCGGAGACCGCTGTTGTTGTCATTCTAGAATCACTGTCATACCCTTATTAGAAGCTAACCTGTTTATCGTTATGATAAAAATGAACAGTGTTCTTGAAAATTGGCCTTTAAAGAGTCAAAATATCACCATTGCTTCAAGCTAACACTGCTGCACGCTGAACTGACATCATAAGACTGACCAAAACTTCAGCAGGCTGGTAGTTACTTCGTTCAGGCTCAACAAAACCAAAAACGTATTTTTATTCAGTTTGTGTAACAAACGACATTTTTGAAATAAGAGTCACACATCAGTCGCATGTGAACAAGTGAACAGGTATAAGCGAAACATCACCAGATTCTCAGAAAGGGTCTCCAGCAAGACGCTTGGCTCAATATGGCTGCAGTCTGAGCAGCTGATGTTGGTGTATAACAGTGTTAAAGTTTACTAGAAGACTCACTTTTATATGATGTCATCTCAGTGCACTGGAGTTTGAGACTGGATGTATCAACATTCATATTCCGGCTCCTTAACAACCTCACAATTCAGAGGATCTGGGCGACGTTTGGAGAAAATATATACACAGGGCAAAAGGTGCCAGCTTTGTAACATTTTTGCCACAGAGCGAAATAGCAGCAGTTTATGAGAACGTTGTGATTTTCCCCACAGACGAAAATCAGCTTAGATTCAGAGTTCCTAATATCAGCATCACACCAACTACAGAATGACAACATGACTTCTGAGATCTATTGGAAACAGCTGGTTCTCGCTTGGTCACTCATATTTGCTTTAACATCAGTAAGATCTGCTAGACATAGAGGTTATAAGAAGGCTATTTTCTGACCGTCTACTGACTGTGTTTGTGTCTCAGAATGGTTTCACTCCACTACACATTGCCTGTAAGAAGAACAGAGTGAAGGTGATGGAGCTGCTGGTGAAATATGGAGCCTCCATCCAGGCCATCACTGAGGTAACGTCTGAACCCTGACCCTTCTCTGAATAACAACACCTCCAGCCTTTGACGTTATATCCAGGGTTAGGGTTACCTTTAACAACTTACCTGCCCTTACCTGTAACCTTTAACCCTCACCTGCAATCTTCAACCCTTTACCTGTAACCTTAACATTCTTTATACTTGATCATTAACAAATTAAGACCATCACATAGGTAAAGCATAGAATGCAGTTACATGATCATATTTCTGTCTCTCTATCGTGCTTATTTGCTCCCTCAGTCTGGTCTCACTCCAATTCACGTGGCAGCATTTATGGGTCACCTCAACATTGTGCTGCTATTACTGCAGAATGGAGCTTCACCAGATGTCTGCAACATTGTAAGTGTTCTCATAATAACCTCACCAGCACCTCGTCAGTACCTCATCACTACCTCATAAGATTAGTACCTCCTCAGTGCTTCATCTGCACCTCATTAGTACCTCCTCTGCACTTCATCAGTACCTCATCATTACCTCATCACTACCTCATAAAAACCTCATTAGTACCTTTGCAGGACCTCATCACTATCTCATAAGAATCTTATTAGTACCTTCTCAGTACCTCATCGGTACCTCATCAGTACCTCATCACTGTCTCATAAGATCCCTATTCGTACATCCTCACTTTATCTGTACTTCTCAGTACCTCATCAGTACCTCATCACTACCTCATAAGAACCTCATTAGTACCTTCTCAGTACCTCATTACTACCTCATTAGTAACTTCTCAGCACCTCATCAGTATTTCATCAATGTCTCATTAGATGCCTATTAGTACCTCCTCATCACTTCATCAGTACCTCATCCCTGCCTCATAACCTCATCACTACCTCATCACACCTTCATCAGTATCTCTTCACTACTTCTTCAGTATTTCATCACTACCTCTTGAGACCTTCATCAGTACCTCATCACTACCTCGTTTTGTACCTCGTTGTTGTTCTTTCCAATACAGTTTTTATTGTATTTTGAACTGCTCATGAATTCCATGTGTGTGTTTACCTATCTGGGTAGCGAGGTGAGACGGCCCTCCACATGTCTGCGAGGGCGGGGCAGATGGAGGTTGTTCGATGTTTGCTGAGGAATGGAGCTCGAGTGGACGCCACGGCCAGGGTGAGATACCCTCACACATACAGAAACCACTTCCTCCACCTCTATAGGCGCAAAGATCTTTCAGTCAATCAGTCACAACCACTGCTCCTCTGTATGTGTAGGAGGATCAGACGCCGCTCCACATCGCCTCCCGGCTCGGTCAGAGCGAGATAGTTCAGCTGCTCCTGCAGCACATGGCTGACCCAGACGCCGCCACCACTAACGGATATACACCACTACACATCGCCGCCAGAGAGGGACAGATTCACACCGCCGCTGTACTGCTGGAGGCTGGAGCCTCGCACTCACTCGCTACCAAGGTACCACAACCACCACCGCTCTGCGGAGTTTACTGCCTTTCCTGTTAAGACCTTCTGGTATACAGTAACTCTACCCGCAGTGCTAATGTGATGAATGTGTTACTGTGTTGTGTATTACATTGTGTGTGATACTGTAAGTGTGTATGTTGTTTTTCGGATCCACAGAAAGGCTTCACTCCTCTCCATGTTGCTGCTAAGTATGGAAGCTTGGAGGTGGCCAAACTTCTGCTGCAGCGCCGAGCCCTGCCTGACGAGGCCGGGAAGGTACAAAACACAAATATTTACTTATTTATTTATATGTACCTGTCTGTCATCTACATAGGTAGATGAATTGACCTAACCCCCTTCAAACATGCACATTTAAGCAGGAATTCAATAATAATAGAAGCTGGAATTGAAATCCTAGTGACACTGACATCACTGGCCATCACTCAGCAAGAGACTCAGTACAGTTCCTGGGACATTTCTAGGAGGGCTGATATGTGAACAGATGCAGTTATGGGCTATGTTCACTCAGCAGGTGAAAGTGGCCCAAATCTGATCTGTGTGAACAGCAAAAACACACTGAATCTGCCATCTGTTGCAAAAAAATAGAAGAGACTCTAAACCGCTCTGTGTTTGAAAAGATTTTGATGTCCGAAATGTCCGAACGCGGCCGTAGGAAAACGAGGCTGTAGAGTCAAAGAACAGTTAAAAGTCTGAAAGCAAAGTTTAAAGAATCTGAGGGCACGAACCAAAAAAGTGACTGCGCCCTTTTTACGGCTAGCTTGAACACATTCTGGGTGATGAGCCCAACTGTCAGTCAATGAAGCTTCATGATGGCTCCTGTGATGCTGGTGGAGATGAAGCTGATCCTCCGGGAGTGACTGGCGTTTATTGGCGGTCATGATTGGTTACCTCTGGATGAGCTGTGAAGCAGCGTGAAGGTTTGTTCTTCTGCGCATGCGGGTCAGTTTAGGAGCTGATCTGTTCAGACTGATGATACAGATCACATTTAAAAGATATTGGGAACAGCCAAAAAAAAAGAAATTCAGGGCCACTTTTACCTGCTGTGTAAACGTAGCGTAGGAGAGTTGCTTTTACATTTTCTCACAGGAGTGAATTTTGTATATGATTCAGAAAAGGAGGAGCTGTTTGGATGTTCATGCTGGGGGCGTCACCTCCCATGAGTTCATCCCAGTAAAATACCATATACACTATATGGACAAAAGTATTGGGACACCTACACATTACACCCACAGGAGCTTTTACGACATCGCATTCTAAATCCATAGGCATTAATATGGAATTGGTCCCCCTTAGCGAACCTGGCAAAGACAACCAGCTGTGTAACAGCCACAGATGAGGCACAGGTTTATTATAAGTGTGAATGACATCTTGTCTTAAAAGCAAGCATCAACAACAAAACCAAACACTCTCATTGTAATCAACGGAGAGCCCTGCCACATCATTGCTAATGCTCCAACAAACAATGCTGTTAAGAACGCTGCCTTTTTGGGATGAGGTGGAGAAAAGAGCGCTGGATGACGCTTCCTCTAATGTTTTATAACTTCCAAAATGGTACTAAGAAGTTTCAGTCAGTAATATTAACATGTTTTTAATCTGCTGGGAGCTGCTGACATAGAATTTAAATGGTATAATAGTAAGGGTCCAGCTTGTGCCACCGACCGCCAGCAGAGGGCGATGGCGGCAAGGTGCCCAGCCTGCAGCGGCGAAGTGCCATAACTTCAGGGAACTCCAATTCCCAGAAGCCCTTGGGCTGATTAGGCCCAACCTGACACACATGTAGAGTCCTCTACTTAAGGCTGTGGCAAACAGCAGCCCGTTGTCACACCTTTGTAGAGGGGTGACCGGTCTGGTACGCAGCCCAGGTGGTTATTTAAATGAAAAGAAAAAGAAAAGAAAGTAATAAATCAATACATTTATTTAACAACGTTTCTCATGGTTTTTCATCTTTGCACTTGGGTACGCCTCCCTGCCGTCCCGTATCAATAATAAATGTACAGTGTGTAGTTTTTGTACATTTTGTCTCAACCTTTTCAGTATATTTTCTAATGCTCTTGCGTTTCTATTGCTGTTGGTCACTCAGAGTTACCAAACAAAGTTGTCTTGAATCTTAAATGTAGACATCCTGAAGTTTTTGCAATGTGATGCTTCATTCAGCAGAGTTTAACCCCTTAAATCTTAGTCTCATCACATACTAAGGCTTATTTCTTAGTAACTACAGGGACTCCAATGCAAACTGCCTGAGTTATCCGTAGATTATAGAAGTGTGTAATAAAATTTTAGGCCTGCTGGTCGGCCCTGACCATTTAAGGGGCTAAACATGCTTGTGTCTGTGACTAAAGAACGTCAGAACCAGTATCTTACTGTACATCATTCTCTCCCCTGTACTACTGTCTAAATAGCTGTACTAGCCTGATCACTACACTCTTAAAGACATGGTTCTTTAGTAAGGATAATGGTGCTATCTGGAACCATGAGCATGCTTAAATGTTTCTTTACATGGTGAAATGGTTCTTCAGCTTGATAAAAAATGTGTTGAATATGGTTCTGTATAGCATCAAAAAGGCTCTTTGATTGTTAAGCTGTCAAGCTTGTAAAAATAGCAGAACCCTTTTTGGTGCTATATAGAACCATATACAACACATTCTCCATCAGTGTGAAGAACCATTTCACTGTGGAGAGAGGCATTTAAGCATGCACATGGTTCTTTGAGTGTCTACATAGAACCACTGGGGCCTCATTCAACAAACGTTTTGACGAAGATCCTGAGATTGCATGAAATGGTTCTATATAGGACTCATGGTTCTAAATAGAACCATAGCCTTTACTTAAGAACCCTTGAAGGAACCATCTTTTGTCACTAAAAGTGTCACTTTATTAAGTCGGAGTGTGAAAAACGCTTCATACGCAAACAAACACAGTAAAAGAAGGCAAACTCAGATGTTCTGCTTGTGTAAGTGAGCAGCTGGTACAGTCAGTTCTAGGTCTTTTTAAATAAAGGAATACTTTTAAGCAACTAAATGATTCTTACTGAGTTGTTTTTTCAGTTCTCTATTCATCTTCATCCCTCTCTTTTTTTTCAGAATGGTCTCACTCCTCTGCATGTTGCCGCTCACTATGATAACCAGCAGGTGGCGCTGCTGCTGTTGGAGAAAGATGCCTCTCCTCACACCACGGCCAAGGTAGCGCACCTCTAACACCACGTTCAAAACTTTACAGTAAAAAATTAGGAGATGTCAGTTTTATACACTATGTGGCCAAAAGTATGTGGACACCTGTATGACACCTATATGAGCTTGTTGGACGACCCACTCCAAAATCATGGGCATTACTACGGAGTTGCCCCCCCTTTGCAGCTGTAACAGCCTCCACTGTTCTGGGAAGCTTTCCACAAGATTTTGGAGTGTGTCTGTGGGAATTTGTGTCCAGCATTTGTGGTCAGACACTGATGTTGGTTGAGAGGGCCTGGCTCACAGTCGACGCTCCAGTTCATCCCAAAGGTGTTCAGTGGGGTTGAGGTCAGGGCTCTGTGCAGGCCACTGGAGTTCCTCCACAACAAAGTAGTCAAACCATGTCTTTATGGAGCTGCTTTGTGCCCAGGGGCTCAGTCATGCTGGAACAGGACAGGGTCTTCCCCAAACTGCTGACACAAAGCTGGAAGCATATAATTGTGTAAAATGTTTTTGTGCTGTAGCATCAACATCACCCTTCACTGGAACTGAGGCGTCTAAACCCTGAAAAACAGCCCCAGCCCATCATCCCTCCTCCACCAAACTCTACTATTGCACTATGCATTCCAGTAGTTATCGTTCTCCTGGCATCCACAAACCCAGATTCATCCAGCAGACTTCCAGATAGTGAAGATGATTCATCACTCCAGAAAACGTTTCCACTGCTCCAGAGTCCAGTGGCGGCACTTTACACCACTCCAGCCGACACTTGGCATTGCACATAGTGATCTTAGGCTTGTGTTGGCTGCTCGGCCATAGAAACCCATTTCATGAAGCTCCTGACGCACAGTTCTTATGCTGATGTTGCTTTTAGAGGTAGTTTGGAACTCTGTAGTGAGTGATTTAACAGAGCATAGACAATTTTTACACACTACACACTTCAGCACTCAGCAGCCTTGCTCTGTGAGTTTGCATGGTCTGCACTTCGTGACTGAGCTGTTTTTGCTCCTAGATGCTTCCATTTCTTAATAATAGCACTTACACTTGGCCGGGGCAGATCTAGCAGGGCAGAATTCTCACAACTTGACTTGTGGGATCCTATGGCGGCACCGTAGGATATACAGTCACTGAGCTCTACAGTCATAAAGTCAGTGTGACCACATACTTTTGGCCATATTGTTGCAGAATTTGAAAATGCAAGCTGCCCTTTGTAACACATTAAAATTTCATGATGAATGGACCAATAGAATTAATAGAAATTATTTGGGGAAAAAACAGCCATTGCTACATTTGATAAATGTTTGTTTATTTTTTGGATTTACTTGAAAATGCAGAGTTTTAATGAAAAAAAAAATCATCTGTGAAAGAAACTTGCAGGCCAATGTTAGCACAAGTCTAATTGCATAGGGTTCTATTCCCCACCTGGCAAGAACACCACACTACACCAAGGGTCCTTTGGCTAGACTCCTAATGCTACATTCACCTCCATCTGCAACAGGATTAAATCTCTCTGGATAAGAACATCTTCACAATGTGTAAATGTAAACATAATGAGTGGAAATCTTTGGTTTGGTGACATGCTAACCTCATTAGCTGCAGAGAAAGCGTGTGGTGAATGTAGCTGCTGGGAAAATCATTAATATAGCGGGTTCTGTTTTCTCGCTGTAGAACGATTAATGTTGTGTGTTGTGTTTAGAACGGTTACACCCCTCTGCACATCGCTGTGAGGAAGAATCAGCCACAGACCGTACTGGCTCTGCTGCAGAAGGGGGCAGAGCCTGGCTCAGTGACCCTGCAGGGCGTGACCCCTTTGCACCTGGCTGCTCAGGAGGGTCACTCGCAGATGGCCACACTGCTGCTGGAGAAGGGCGCTAATTCTAACGCTACCACCAAGGTACATACAGACACACATACAGGGTTATTTGTAGCAGCGTAAAAATAGCAGCAAACTGGAGCTTTATTAGTTAAAAAAGTGAAGCACATTAAAATTGGAAATATTTATTCCCTCTTTGGTTCCACAACTCATCTCTGCACATCTTCAGAACTAACCAGCAGGGGGCAGAGTTAAAGTCCCGGAGAGCACATGATACTAAGGCTCAGTCCCATTTCTTATTTATTTGTTTTTTTCGAGTGTCACCTTGAGTTAACTGGGTCACAAGGGGTAGTGGTTGAAATCTTCCCTCTGAAATGGGACCCTCAAATAAAAAGAGCATCACTTCATTAACAGCTACCAGCGCTGCTCTGTAGGCGACCCTGCCAGTCTGCAGTGACAGCAGAGGAGGGTCAAGTTCAGCTCCTCACTGCTGGGCTTTAGTTACATTTAGGGCATCATATGATCTTCAGAAGGCAGATGACTTCACGTCAACAATCATGCGTCATGATGTTCTACATAAAGGTCCATTTTATAATTAGACAGTACTGACTACTGTACATTTAAGCAGTAGAACCCGAGAGGGAGTGTGTTATCGCGGAATAACATCACGGCTGTGATTTGGTCGCTGTAGATCATCACAGCCGTGATGTTATACGCGATAACACACTCCTCGAGTGTTCTATTGCTTTAATACAACAGTGAAATAAATAAAGTAAGAAATAAATAAACTGGGTCGTGAACGCGGCGTTTAATTATATTTAAATTATAGTTCCTTAACAAGCAGCGGTTAGAACGCTTCTCAACCAATCAGCTTGCATGGCCGGAAATAACTGTTGTATAATTAACTATAAACACCTCCTCCCTCTCTTTCTCTCTCTCTCTCTCTCTCTCTCTCCCTCTCTCTCAGAATGGACTGACTCCTCTCCACCTCTCCGCTCAGGAGGACAGAGTGAACGTGGCTGAAGTTCTGGTTAAACACGGTGCTAACTTAGACCACCAGACGAAGGTCAGAACCAAAAAACAGAAACACATGAGCTTCATAAATTTCACATAAGGTTTAAGGATGGACATTTCAATTTCTTAGGTTCTATTTGAAGAATATTCTAAAGAGGCTGAGGGTTGCATTCCTCATTTTCAGTTATCTGTTGGAGAAAGTTCCACATAAGGCTGCCACACACCAGGCGCATCAGGAACGAAACACAGCATCCAAAAATGAGAAAAAAAATAATGATCTACTGAATTAAATTAAACCCAGAATACAAACCTGTGTGCATTTTGTATTTTTAAATTTCTGCCATGAAAGACAGCCAATCCCACGTCTTGAAAATTTTAAAAACACAATGCTGATCAATGCACACCATCTAAAGACTACTGCAGCCTTAAGATGGTGTGCAGTAGTCTTTAGATAGTGTGTGACAGCTTTTAGATGGTGTGCAGTAGCCTTTAGATGGCTGCAGTAGTCTTTAGGTGGTGTGTGGTAGCCTTTAGATGGTGTGTGGTAGTCTTTAGACTGCTTCAGTAGTCTTTAGATGGTGTTTGGTAGTCTTTAGACGGCTGCAGTAATCTTTAAATGGTATGTGGTAGTCTTTAGATGGCTGCAGTAATCTTTAGATGGTATGTGGTAGTCTTTAGATGGTTGCCGTAGTCTTTAGTTAGTGTGCAGTAGTCTTTAGATAGTGTGTAGTAGTCTTTAGATGGTGTTTGGTAGTCTTTAGACGGCTGCAGTAATCTTTAAATGGTATGTGGTAGTCTTTAGATGGCTGCAGTAATCTTTAGATGGTATGTGGTAGTCTTTAGATGGTTGCCGTAGTCTTTAGTTAGTGTGCAGTAGTCTTTAGATAGTGTGTAGTAGTCTTTAGATGGTGTGCAGTAGTCTTTAGATGGTGTGTGGTAGTCTTTAGATGGTGTGCAGTAGTCTTTAGATGGTGTCCAGGAATCTTTAGATGGTGTGCAGGAGTCTTTAGATGGTGTGTGGTAGTTGTTAGATGGCTGCAGTAGTCTTTAGATGGTGTGTGGTAGTTTTTAGATGGTGTGTGGTAGTCTTTAGACTGCTGCAGTAGTCTGTAGATGGCATGCAGTAGTCTATAGATGGTGTGTGGTAGCCTTTAGATGGTGATTCGTAGTCTTTAGATGACCGCAGTAGTCTTTGGATGGTGTGTGGTACTCTGGTTTCCTTCACTGGACTAAACAAATTAGAACCTCTAATCAAAACATCACATGCAGCTCTGCACTGCCCCCTGGTGTAAAGAGTATAGAGTTCAGACAGCTCATTGTCCTTCAGTATGAGAATGTAAAACAATAGAGAGAAGATAATTTGATTGGTTCACAGTAAGTTGAGAGATCTTCCTGATTTAACCCAGATCTCTCTCTCTCCCCCCCTACTCTCTCTCTCTGTTCCTTCCTTCTACATGCAGTTGGGTTACACCCCCCTTATTGTGGCTTGTCACTATGGAAACGTAAAGATGGTCAACTTTCTTCTGCAACACGGTGCGAGCGTCAACGCCAAGACCAGAGTGAGGGCCCACTTCCTGTTTAAGCTGCTCACTGATTGAGTGGCCGATTAGTTGATGAGGGTTTGACATGGTCTGATGTTGTTCTTCGTGTTTGCTCTGTGCAGAACGGCTACACTCCTCTACACCAAGCAGCTCAGCAGGGAAACACTCACATCATCAACGTTCTGCTCCAGCACGGGGCGAAGCCTAACGCTGTTACCATGGTGAGAACCACACAAACTCAAACACATACACACACTTTAACAGGTGCTTATATACCGACTCGTCCATGTTTCAGAATGGAAACACCGCTCTGTCCATCGCAAAGCGTCTGGGCTACATCTCCGTGGTGGACACGCTGAAGGTCGTCACAGAGGAGATCATCACCACTACCACCGTGAGTTACTTTTATCAGAGAACCAATCAGCACTCAGCAGCAGAAATGCTAACCAGTCAGCACTCAGAAGCAGAAATGCTAACCAATCAGCTCTCAATAGCAGTAATGCTAACCAATCAGCACTCAATAGCAGTAATGCTAACCAATCAGCACTCAATAGCAGTAATGCTAACCAGTCAGCGCTCAGTAGCAGTAATGCCAACCAATCAGCACTCAGTAGCAGTAATGCCAACCAATCAGCGCTCAGTAGCAGTAATGCTAACCAATCAGCACTAAGTAGCAGTAATGACCAACCAATCAGCGCTCAGTAGCAATAATGCCAACCAAACAGCACTCAGTAGCAGTAATGCTAACCAATCAGCACTCACTCGCACTAATGCTAACCAATCAGCGCTCAGTAGCAGTAATGCCAACCAATCAGCGCTCAGTAGCAGTAATGCTAACCAATCAGTGCTCAGTAGCAGTAATGCTAACCAATCAGCACTCAGTAGCAGTAATGCTAACCAGTCAGCGCTCAGTAGCAATAATGCTAACCAATCAGCACTCAGTAGCAGTGACGCTAACCAATCAGCACTCAGTAGGAGTAATGCTAACCAGTCAGCACTCAGTAGCAGTAATGCTAACCAATCAGCACTCAGTAGCAATAATGCTAACCAATCAGCGCTCAGTAGGAGTAATGCTAACCAATCAGCACTCAGTAGCAATAATGCTAACCAATCAGCTCTCAGTAGCAGTGATGCTAGATTACCTTGTGTTTGCTGTAATGTTGATAGTTATGTCAGCATGATGGGAAAAAATGGTTGTAAAGTTTCTTTGAGGAGCTTTTACAGCTGAGTCTATTTGCGCTAATATTAGCTAGTTAGCTAACCTGGTCTGTTTTGGTGTTCCTGAATTCTCTCTTCATCGATTCTCTCATTATAAAGATGAATAGCCCAACGTACATAAGACAACCAGCAGTAAACATCTGTGGCCTAATCATTGGCTACTTAAAGTGAGCTGCCTTTAAAAATAAAGAATAAGCTTCCAGCAGAAGCTCGAACATGTTCTCCATGATGGAAGGTTCTCAGGAGCTCATTAGAAACTCTGAAAGCCAAATTACGAGTTTGAAACTCAATTTTTTAAAAATCTGACAGCACATGAAGGTCAGTTTAGAACTGAAGAAATGGACATAAAGCAGTTTTCTGGTGTTCCTGAAGTTTTTCCTGATGTTCTTACAGACGGTGACAGAAAAGCACAAACTGAACGTACCAGAGACGATGACTGAGGTTCTGGATGTTTCTGATGAGGAAGGTGAGTGTCTGCTCAAATGAATTACAGACATTTATTTATAACTGATTACTACAATTAACTTGTACTTCCACCAACTGGCCACTTGATTAGAAACACCCACCTGGTACTTCCCCTAACTGGCCATTTTATTAGAAACACCCACCTTGTACTTCCTCTCAGTGGCCACTTTATTAGGAACCCTCACCTTGTACTTCCACTACCTGGCCACTTTATTAGAGACATCTACCTTGTACTTCAACTAACAGGCCACTATACTAGAAACACCTACCTTGTACTTCCATGAACTGGCCACTTTATTAGAAACATCCACCTTGTACTTCCATTAATTGGCCATTTTATTAGGAACGCTCACCTTGTACTTCCACTAACTGGCCACTTCATTAGAAACACCTACCTTGTACTTCCACTAACTGGCCACTTTATTAGAAACACCTTGTACTTCCATGAACTGGCCACTTTATTAGAAACGCCCACCTTGTACTTACCCTAACTGGCCACTTTATTAGAAACACCTACTTTGTATATTAGCTCATGTTAGTATTTGAGACAGTGGATACTTACTGCAGCCCTGCTGAGGTTTGTGGGTAATGTAGTTAAATTGCTCTGCAGCTCTACAGCAGGTGGAGGAACCTTTAGCTGAAGTCTCTGTGGAGATCAGAGGAATTCTGGGTAAATAAAAATTGATGGGCTGATGATGATGTTGACATTAACAGCATGGAGTAATGACTTCAGTGACTTTTTTTGAAGTGAAAATGTGGTTCAGTTAAGCTGATAACTGATGGTGTTGAGTGTCGTTGTTCTGCCTGCATTACTAACGCTAAGAATGCAGAAAGTATTCACCCCCTACAGTTTCCAACAGTTACACATCCAGAAGTGAAAATGTTTTCTCTTCACTTTATAAATATGATAGTCAAAACACTTATGAAAATACAAAAAAAAAAAAATGAAAGAACACTGATTTTGCAACAGTGCCACAGTGTAAGACTTTTAAGTATTTATCCCACCCACACACAGCCAATACTTAGTTTACTGTCCTCTAGCAGGAATTACAGCTTTTAACTTGGCCATTCTAGAACACAATTTTTTTAAAAGCCATTCCTTTGTAGTTTTTGCCCTGTCCTTTTGGTCTTTGTCCTGCTGGAAGTGTCTCATACTGAAAAGTAACTCAACAACTAAAGTTTGTTTTTGATGCTACCACCATGCTTTATGGTAGGAGTGGTGCCAACAGGTTGTTGGGCTGTATTTGTTTTGTGCCAAACATAACACTTTGCCTTTAGACCAAAATGCTAAATTTTAGTCTCATCTGACCACAAAAAGATTCAGTAGCTGTAGGGGTAAATAGCTGTGGGGTTTAGTAGCTATTGGGGTCAGTGCTATAGGGTTCAGAACGTGTAGGGTTTGGTATCTGTAAGGGTCAATAGCTGGAGGGCCCAGTTGCTTTTGGGTTCTGCTCTATAGGGTTCAGTAGCTTTTGGGTTTAGTAGCTGTTGAGTTCAGTAGATGTAGGATCTAGTAATAGTAGGGTTCAGTAGCTGTAAGTTTCATTAGCTGTGGGGTTCGATGATTGTACAATTTAGTAGCTATAGGGTTCAGTAGCTGTAGGGTCCAGTAGTGTAGTTTTCAGTAGTTGTAGTGTTCAGTAGTTGAAGGGTCAGTAGCTGTAGGGTTCAGTACTCAAAAGCTTCAGTAGTTCTAGGGTTCAGTAGTTGAAGGGTTCAGTAGCTGAAGGTTTTTATTACTTAAGGGTTCAGTAGTTGAAGGGTTCAGTAACTTAAAAGTTCAGTAGCTGTAGGGTTCAGTAGTTGTAGTGTTCAGTAGCTGTAAGGGTTCAGTAACCTGAAGGTTCAGTAGTTGAAGGTTTCAGTAACTTAAAGGTGCAGTAGCTGTAGGGTTCAGTAGCTGTAAGGTTTCGGTAACCTGAAGGTTCAGTAGCTGTAGGGTTCAGTACTTGAAAGTTTCAGTCATGTAGAGTTCAATAGTTAAAGGGTTCAATAGCTGAAGGTTTTAATAACTTAACAGTAGTTGAAGGTTTCAGTAACTTAAAGGTTCAGTTGTTGTAGAGTTCAGTAGTTAAAAGGTTCAGTAGCTGAAGGTTTTAATAACTTAATGGTTCAGTAGTTGAAGGTTTCAGTAACTTAAAGGTTCAATAGCTATAGGGTTCAGTAGCTGTAGGGTCCAGTAACTTAAGGGTTCAGTAGTTGTAGGGTTCAGTAACGTAAAGGTTCAGTACCTGTAGCATTTGTTAGTTGTACAGTGTTAGTATCTGTAGGATTCAGTAACTGCAGGGTTTAGTAGTTGTAGAGTTCAGCAGTTGTAGGGTCCAGTTGTTGTAGGGTTCACTAGCTGTAGAATTCAGTAACTGTAGGGTTCAGCAGTTGTAGGGTTCAGTCCTTCAAGGTTTCAGTAGCTGTAGGGTCCAGTCGTTGTAGAGTTCAGTAGCTATAGGGTCCAGCAGTTGTAGAGTTCAGTAGCTGTAGGGTCCAGTAGTTGTAGGGTTCAGTAGCTGAATGGTCCCACAGTTGAAAGTTACATGAAAACTTAACTTCAGTAACTTCAGTGACTTTAGTGGCTGTAAATTTCAGGGACAAAAGCAGTGCAGGTTTTAGTGTTCTGCTTTATTATATGCACCTGATTCAGTTCATTAGCTAATTAATAAGATATTCAGTAATTGAATTCAGAACATTCACTTAAGGAAAGCACTAATCTCTGCAGAGCTGGGACCCAAACGTTTCCCAGTCTGGCACACCTGCTCTAAACAAAACCTGTGTGCTGTGCATGATAATGGAGACAGACTCAAACACCTGGAGAAGATTGGAGAGTCCCTCTGAATGTTACGTGTGGAAATCACTAATGACGGTTTGACCATTAACCCAGGTTAACCCACATTACAAATACTCAGAGTTATGTGATAATTAATGTGTCTGTGTGTTTAGGAGAGGACACTATGACCGGTGATGGTGGTGAGTATCTCAGAGCGGAGGATTTGAGAGAACTAGGAGACGACTCTCTAACTGGACAATACCTGGACGGCGTGAGCTACTTCAGCCACAACTTGGACAGGTACAGTCTCACAAGTTACTTGATTAATCCATTAATTTAACTATTCTTCTTTGGTTCTTCTTTCTTTGCTGTTGCTATCATTCAAATATTCACCTGTACAATAAGAGCGTTCTTCTTTCATTGTACAGCAAAGCCTTATCGCCCCCTATACTTCATGTAGTGTACTACAGTCTGTCAGAATGACTGTGTGGATCATATGAACATTATAGAGCGCTTTTTAAATAAAACAGTAGAAGCCATATCGCCCCCTACACTTCCTGTAGTGTATTACAGTCTGTCAGATTGACTGTGGATCATATGAACATTATAGAGCACTTTTGTTCACGACATGTTGGCCATTGTTGACCAATGGTTGTAGTCATAATATACACCTATAATATGCATTGCTAATATCTCTGATCATTTCTTGCCTGTAGAGTCCATCAGACTCCACCCCATCTGGCTTACTCGAGAGAGGGAGTGCTGATTGAGGACATGATAACCAGCCATCAGGTAAAACACACAATGACCAAAGTGTTCAGCAGCTGTAGGGTTTCGTAGCTGTTGGGTTCAGTAGTTGTAGGATTTAGTAGCTGTTGGGTTTAGTAGCTGTAGGGTTTGATCATTGTAGGGTTTAGTGGCTGTAGGGTTTAGTAGCTGCAGAGTTCAGTAATTGTAGGGTCAAGTAGCTGTAGGGTTTAATAGATGTAGGGTTAAGTCATTGTAGGGTTCAGTAACTGTAGGCTTAAGTCATTGTAGGGTTCAGTAGCTGTAGGGTATAGTTGTAGAGTTTTGTAGCTGTAGGTTTTAATCATTGTAGCGTTTAGTAGCTGTATGGTTCAGTAGCTGTAGGGTTTAATCGTTGTAGGGTTTAGTAGCTGTACAGTTTAACATATAGCTTATTAGCTTTAGGGTTCAGTAGCTGTTGGGATTAATAGTTGTAAGGTTTAGTAGTTGAAGGGTTCAGTAGCTGTAGGGTTTAGTAGCTGTATGGCTCAGTTGCTGTAGGGTTTATTAGTTAAAGGGTTCAGTAGCTGTAAGGTTTAGTTGCTGTAGAGCTTAGCAGCTTTAGGGTTTAGTATTTGTTAATTTTCAGTAGCTGTTGGGATTCATAGTTTTAAGGTTTAGTAGTTGGAGGGTTCAGTAGCTGTAGGGTTTAGTTGCTGTAAGGTTTAGTTGCTGTATAGCTCAGCTGCTGTAAGGTTCAGGAGTTGTAGGATTCAGTAGCTGTAGGTTTTAGTAGCGGTATAGCTCAGCTGCTGTAAGGTTCAGGAGTTGTAGGGTTCAGTAGCTGTAGGTTTTAGTAGCGGTATAGCTCAGCTGCTGTAAGGTTCAGTAGTTGTAGGGTTCAGTAGCTGTAGGGTTTAGTAGCTGTATAGCTCAGTTGCTGTAAGGTTCAGGAGTTGTAGGGTTCAGTAGCTGTAGGGTTTAGTAGCTGTATAGCTCAGCTGCTGTGAGGTTCATTAGTTAAAGGGTTCAGGAGCTGTAGGGTTTATTTTGCTGTAGAGTTTAGCAGCTTTTGGGTTTAGTATTTGCAAATTTCAGTACCTGCCGTGTTTAATAGTGTTTAGATTGTGTGCTGAGTGCTGAGTGTGCTGTGTGTCTGTTGGCAGGTTTCTGCTCTCGCCAAAGAGAGTGAGAAAGACTCGTATCGGCTGAGTTGGGGAGCAGAGCACCTGGATAATGTCGTACTGACCAGTACACTGCTGCACTCTGGGTCAGCCACACACACACACACACACACACACACACACACACACTGTATGTCCAATCTTGTCCAGACACTGAAACACCAGCTGATCCAGTGTTTCTACTGAAATGAGGGTAGTTAAATGTGAGTTTGACCCCCTTTGCTGCAGCCTCTACTCTTCCTCACACCAGATGTTGGAACGTTGCTGTGAGGATTTGATTGAGCATTAGTGAGGTCAGGTACTGATGTTGGATGGTCAGTTCTGGATCACTCCAACTCATCCCAAAGGTACCGGATGGAGCTCTATCACTCCAGCATATCCCACATCACTGTAGGAGGAGTACATCAGTCCAGGAGTTTGGACAATTTGGAAAAGAAAGCATCCTATGATGGTGCTGCATTGAAAGGCTGCTGTTCTAGATAGAGATCACACAGCTGTGCCTTCAGTCTAACATCTGGGTCAGATGGCTAAAGGGTTTTGGTTAAATAGTCCAATACGCTAATTAGAAGAGGTGTCTGGATACTTTTGGACATGCATAGTGTAAGTAGATACAAACACACCCAATTAGAATTGGAATAATATATATTCTATTCCAATCAAATGCATCAATATATAGCACCACAGGCCCACACAGAACAGCAGGCTGCAGTGTAACTGAGGCGTTTGTCCACAGGGGGCAGTGTAGTACAGCAGTGATAGTGTGGTACAGTTAATAACTGTGTTATCATTCCTACTGTACAGTGACCGGCACCCTGCTTATGTTATGAAGCTTATATCAAAGAAAACTTACATCCATAGTTTAGGTATCATTGTGGTACCAAGTGTACCAAACCTGGATGTGTGGGTGGAGCTACAAATAGTGCAGACCACGGATTGGTGAAATGCACTCGCACAGGACTGGATGCTTCTGTCGCTGCTGTTGTTTAGCGTAAACGCTAGCATTGGGTTGGAAATCGTGTGACCCCCATCCCCTCCAACAGAGAACCCCACCCACTGTGTGATGGGAGAATGTGTACAGGTCCTCTAGCAGGGCACGGACAGCTCTGGGTAGTAACCGTACCGCACTGCCCGCTGGAGCAACAGCTATAAGAGAACGTTAGCCTACAGACTGGCTGTGGGAGGAGCTCCCCCTACAGGACGCTCCCTCTCACTGCAGCAGATATCAGATATTCTCAGGCAGTTGTTACTGATATGATTTGAAATTCTGCTTTTCCAGCTTCTTAAAGCTGCTAACAGCTAACATTAGCATTTGCACATTAGCATTAGCTACAGCCACCATGACTTTACACACAGCCAAAGCAGACCATCATTCAAAGCTGCTGTTTCCTCTCTTCCTCTTTTGTGGTGTCATCCCCCTTTCTCTCTCTCTTTCTCTTTCCCTCTCTCCCTCTCTCTCTCTCTCTCTCTGCTGTGTGTGACGCTGTGTTGTGTTCTGCTTGTAGCCGGTCAACTCCGTGCCTTGACCATGACAACAGCAGGTGATCTCCCCACACGGTTTATTCTTTTGTTTCCTTTCTTCTTTCTTTCTTTCTTTCTTTCTTTCTTTCTTTCATCATGCTCTCTGTTTTGTTCTCCTCCCCTTATTCTCTGTTCCAGGCCTTCTTCATTTCATCTCTCTCATATTTTCTCTCCCCATTTTCCTCTTCTTTCCTTTTTTGTATGTTTGTATTTTCCATCATTCGTTCATCCTTTCTTTCTTTCTTTCTTTCTTTCTTTCTTTCTCTCACTCATTCTTTTTCTCTCCTCCTCTCTTTCTCTTTTCTGCATGTGTTTGCTGCAGATGTGTGTGAGTGAGGTCTTAGCCTTGCTGTGATGTGGTTGCTATGGAGACCGCCTGTCGTTTCCATAGTAACAGTACACATCTGAGTGGGTGTGGAGTTCGGCTGATGATGGAACAGTGCTGTGTGGAACTCTAATGATTGAAGGACCTTCAGGAAAAAAAAGCTTCCAGACTCAGTTTCCTTAGTTGGTCAGTGGAACCTTCTGGAAGCTTTTTGAGGTCCAACAGAATCCTGTATTACACAGAGAGAGAGATGAACATCAGGCACCACCCAGATATCTGAAGTCATTTCTGCTCTGAGACGTAATCAGAGTGATTCAGAGTGGTTTGGTGTGAAATGGTTCAGATGTCTTTACAGTGATGGTGATAGGAACCAGGGGTCGCCATGACTACAACACAAATATAGACATTTTATTTACTATCCAGAACCACCAGTGAACCTACACGAGTCTTCTGAGTTTATATGGAATGTTGATGATGGAAAATAGTGGAAAATCTGGAATAATAAGTTTTCTTTGGGGACTATTTTGCCTCACAGCACCCTGCATGTATCCTTCCACCATGAATGGAGTTTAACCCTTGTGTGGTGTTCAGTTCTGTGGGAGCCATTTTCAATTTTTCTGAGAAGAACATATAAAATAATACATTTTCAGTGCGTTCACACTGTTCACCCCCCACACATTTACACCGATCAGGCATAACATTATGACCACCTCCTTGTTTCTATGCTCATTGTCCATTTTATCAGCTCCACTTACTATATAGGTGCACTTTGTAGTTCTCCAGTTACAGACTGTAGTCCATCTGTTTCTCTGATACTTTGTTAGCCCCCTTTTACCCTGTTCTTCAGTGGTCTGGACCCCCATGAACCCTCACAGAGCAGGTGATATTTGGGTGGTGGATCATTCTCAGCACTGCAGTAACACTGATGTGGTGTGTTAGTGTGTGTTGCGCTGGTCTGAGTGGATCAGACACAGCAGTGCTGCTGGAGTTTTTAAACACCTCAGTGTCACTGCTGGACTGAGAATAGTCCACCAACCAAAAATATCCAGCCAACAGCGTCCTGTGGGCAGCGTCCTGTGACCACTGATGAAGGACTAGAGGATGACCAACACAAACTGTGCAGCAGCAGATGAGCCATTAATTTCATGTAGTAACTTTCTGTGAGCTTCTAGAGGTGGACGTCTGGTTCCTATCACCACCACTGTGAACAATTCTGACTGAGCGTTTCACACTAAACCACTCTGAATGACTCTGTTTACATCTTAAACATTTAAATATGGAGGAATTTTGATACATCAGTGGATCGAGATACATCAACCTTCTTGCAGGTATTTGGGTGGCTTTTCTCTCACCCTGTGTGGGTGTGTATATATACACAGACACATATATATTAAGAGGATTCCGTTGTCAGTGTGAGTTCATTCTAAGCGTGAAAGCTGGAGTGAGTGTGTGTTTCACGTCTGTCTCGTGACCTCCAGCACAGCTTTGCACCGAGCTTTGAATACACCATTACATTCATTCCTCCATACATACAGCCCAGAATATAACTGTACTGCACTCACAGTCTGATCAAACATACCTGCAAACTGATGCATGTTCGTGTAATGATGTTGGTCTTTAAAGCGATAGTTCTGCAAAATAATCACATCTACCCCAGTGTCGCCCCTTAACCCAAATACCGTCGCTCAGCCAAGATGTGTTTGGTGTCTGACGTTTGCTTCTTTAATTTCAGCAGGGGAGCTACGAGGCTAATGTAGCTAACAAGTAAAGGAAGCTTATACCCCACCAATTAGCATGGTGCTAAAATGTGCCTTAAATGTGTTAGTGAAGTTGGCTTCCTATTCCTTAATTGTTGGGGTACAAGCTTGCACTGCTTGTTAGTTACATTAGCCTGTATATTATAATTTATGACAGTGTTGTCTATAAAAATGAACAACATTCAGGAATGAAGGTGACTGTAACAGTTTCTAGCTATGCTGACATATTTTAGCCCATGTTTATGGATAACAGCATCAGAAACCACATAATCAAGTGTATTAGAGTCTATTAGAGATCACTGAACAACCTCAAATGTCTTGAGGCATGCAGTTAGCATCATGCTAACTGGGGGCAGGGTAAACCTGTTACCTGCTGGCTACATTAGCCTCATAGCTCCAGTGCTAAAACTATAGAAGCAAACTTTTAGGGTAAGGGGAAAATTGCCCTGTCTATGCTCTGCCCACAAATCCAATTCAGTCTAATGAGAAACTGTAGTACACTCAGTTTTTTAAATCAAAAACCGACATTTAGAGCAATATTACAAGTTCAAATGCATAAATTTAGTGTACGAATATTGTTATTTGCAAAGGAATAAGGTCACACTGGTAGAAAAGTTCAGGTACAGTTTTTATAGTTTTTAAAAATCCGATTGATGGGCTAAACAGAATGTTCACCAGCTTAGTAAGTTAACACAGTTAGCTACTGTAGCATGGCTGATATTACTCTGAAGTTTACCACAACATTTTCGTACTGCCAGATTATATACAGTGCAAACAGAGACAGTGTGTGCAGCCTTAAGCTACATCAATAAACTCAAGCTGCTCTGTAACAGATGAGATATACAGAAGCATAGCTAATTAGCAATGCTAAAACAGCTGAATTGGGTACACCAGTACACAACAAGGGAAATGTTTGGGTAAATATCTGACAGTAACTTCAGCCATGCTATAGTAGCTAGTGGTTTCGGCTATGACGCTATGATGCTGGTTAACTTTCACATATAAAAATAAACATTATTTGAAATAAACTCCATATTTAAGTAATTATTGACACCATCTACTGTTTCATTTCTCTTTAGGTTGAATTGGATTTTTACCAGCATTCTGTAAAGCTTGGTCAACTGTACAACAGTACCTATAAAAATAAAGTATTTGTGGGCGGAGTCTGGAGAGGACAGTTATGTAAATTAAATATTTAACTGAGCTGTTCATTCAATGGTGGTCTGTGTTTGGCTGTTTGCTTTCTCTCTCGTCCAATCAGCTTCCTCGTGAGTTTTATGGTTGATGCCCGGGGTGGTGCCATGCGCGGTTGCCGTCACAATGGCCTGCGCATCATCGTGCCACCCAGGAAGTGTTCAGCACCCACACGGGTTACCTGCAGGCTGGTGAAGAGACACAGACTGGCCACCATGCCCCCTCTGGTGGAGGGAGAGGGAATTGCAGGCAGGATCATAGAGGTTGGACCCACTGGGGCACAATTCCTTGGGTAAGACACTGCCAGAGAGGGACTGGCAGAAAAAGACTCTCTTTCACTTTGGGCTGGTGTGGATATGGAAATTTTCATATCTTTTAATATCATTGATTACTGATGAATTGTGAAATATCTCTAGACAGTAAAAAGGAGAGGAAAGATAAGTAATTGAGTTGCAAGTAAGAAGTAAGTATCAAGTTTAGACTGTCAAGTCTTGGGCCAAGTCCTGAGTCAAGACAGGCGAGGCCTGAGACAAATCCAGAGTCAAGTCTTAAGTCCCAAGTCAAGTCTCGAGACCAAACAGACTCAAGTCCCAAGTCAAGAAAAGTAAAGCTCAAGTCAGGGCAGGCGATTCCCAAGTGAAATCACAGGTCAAGAGAGGCAAGTCCAGAGTCAAGTCTCAAGTCAAGAAAAGCAAGCCACAAGTCAGCACAAGAAAGTCCTGTGTCAAGACTTGAGTCAAAATAAGCAAGTCCCGTGTCAAGACTAGTTTCAAATCATGACAGGCAAGTCTAAAGTCAAGACAGGCAAGTCCAAAGTCTAGCCCCAGTCACGACAGGTAAATCCCAAGACTAGTTCCAAGTCAAAACAGGCAAGTCTCAAGTCAAGACAGGCAAGTCCCAAGTCACGACAGGAAAGTTTCAAGTCTAGTCCCGATTCGGAGAGGTCTGTCCTGAGTATGACAGGCAACTCCCTCGTTTAGTCCCAAATCAAGACAGGCAAGTCCCAAGTCTAGTCCCAAGTCAGGACAGGCAAGTCCTAAGTCAAGACAGGCAAGTCCTAAGTCAAGACAGGCAAGTCTCAAGTCAAGACAGGCAAGTCCCAAGTCTAGTCCCAAGCTATAACAGGCAATTCTCTAATCTAGGCTCAAGTCAAAACAGGCAAGTCTCAAGTCAAGACAGGCAAGTCCCAAGTCACAACAGGAAAGTTTCTTTTCTAGTCCCAATTCAAGACAAGCAAGTCTGAGGTCTAGTCCCAAGTCACGACAGGCAACTCCCAAGTCTAATCCCAAGTCACGGCAGGCAAGTACCAAGTCTAGTCCCAAGTCAGGACAGGCAAGTCCCAAGTCTTGTCCCAAGTCTGGAGAGGCAAGTCCCAAGTCTAGTCCTAAGACAAACAGGCAAGTCCTGAGTAAAAACAGCAAGTCCCAAATTTAATCCCAAATCAAGACCTGAATTAAGCCCAAGTCCTTACAGTAAAGCCCGAAATCTAATCTTAAAGCATCAGATATATCTGACTCACAATCTTGTGTTTTGAGTAAAATAACACAGCAATATTTAGTGTCACACAGCAGTAATTGTTCCAAGTTTAAGCCTTTGCTGTTCACAGTACATTCAGAAATGGAAAAGCATATTCATTTTTGAAAAATTACGCACACAGGGAAACACGTTTGATTTGACTTTGATAATTATGATGAATTATCAATGTATCCTCCAGGGCTAGTTCCAGATATTTTATGCTGTTTATAAATCATTGTGTTTGATTGTTTTAGAGAACCCTGTTATCTTTGATGGAATGGGTATGTGTGTGACTTTGAGCAGTCTGTGGTATATGTGTGCCTGTATGTGTTACATTTTCTTATTTTAACCACTTTAACGCTGCGTATGGAGCAGAAAGCTGCACCTGCCCACAGCTCCGCCCCCTCTGAATGAGGGCGAGAGTTTGGTCAGCAGGATCCTGCAGCTCGGCCCACCTGGAACCAAATTCTTAGGGTAGGACACACAGTGATTCCCTGATGCATTCATCCGTACACACAGTGATACACTGGAGTACCCTGCCACTCCCCGACAGTGTGGATCAGTTGGTGTATCCCCCTCTACCCTGCACCCACAGGCTTTATTTGGTATCAGTTTTTTTTTACAGGGCTGCCCAAAGTTGGCCCATGCTTGATTTCTCCAGCCAGAAAGTCAACCTACTTTATTTGTAAATGGTTTTGTCTTCATGGTCTTAAACCCACCACAAATGTTGCATTTAGGCCCCTGAAGGCAAAAGTTTGGGCACCCCTGATTTAGAGTGGTAGTGTTGTTTTCTGAGCTCAGGTTCGCTCTGCAAACTGAAAACTGAACTGACTCCAGAAACATCACTCATAAGCCGGCAGTATACTTTAAACAGAAAAGAGGCTTGTTCTGAGGCCTCCTCCTGACTGTGATTGGTCCACATATCAACTGGTTGCCAGCATCACTGCACAGTTCAGGGCTGCATTCAGCCCTGACAAAATGTAAACATCTATTTAAACGGAACCTTCTAATGTCTGGACCATGAACTGCAGTGGCTGCATTTGTAGAGGACTTCATTGGAATTCATTGTGTGTGCTGCAATTTTAATATGTTGGGGTTTATATACATGTTGCTGCTAATTAGGTAATATCTCTAACATGCCCAGCAAACTAGAGAAAGCATCCCTTAAAGCCCGCTGTGCCCCATTTCGCACTGAAGCATGTTGTTCAACCCGGGAACTGTAGCAAAATGGTGCAGAACATATTGAGATAGAGATGCGCTTCAAGCCTCTAGTGGTGCTGAGTCTCAGGAAGACATACTCCTAGTTCTCTTTAAGTATACTTAGATCAGTGTGTTTGGCTCCAGTTCTAGTTCATTTAGTTCTTTTGTCGTTTGAAGTACACTGGCGGCTTTACGGTTCATGTAAGTAAACTAGTGGTTTGTCTGTTTTTAGTGTTTGGGTGTCAGATTTTTTGCTGTTTTCTGTGTTTTGGTGTTTGCACCAAATTATTGCACACGTCTTTAGATATTAATTGCTTGAATGTTTAAAGTTCACGATTACACTCTGATTGCAAGTCTTGTTCCTGCCTGTATCTGTTAGGCCAGTGATTGTGGAGATTCCTCACTTTGCGGCTCTGCGTGGTTCTGAGCGTGAGCTGGTGATTCTGCGCAGTGAGACGGGTGAGAGCTGGAGGGAGCATCACTGTGAACATACAGAAGAGGAACTCAACCAGATCCTTAACGGCATGGATGAGGGTAAACCCTAAATCTTATATCCTAAACCCTAAACCCTACACCCTATACTTCTTTTTCAGTACCTGATTGGCTGGATGAGATGTACTAGAGTTAGGTAAGGGGCAGAGTAGCTTATTGGATACAGACTGGAGCTTAACTCTGCAGGAAGGTCTCTCTCTATGACCAGGGTTGGAGACCATCACTTTAAACCATTACAACTCAACCAGATCCTCAGCGGCATAAATGAGGGTAAACCATAAACCCAATAATCTATCCTAAATCTTAAACCCTACTAGGGGTTGCACAGACTACTTGATTTACTGCTTGGTGATAACGCTTTAAGCTTATCATGAGATCATGGCACTAACAACATGGACGCCTCAGAGAAGACAGCAGGAGAGGAGCCTGTGATTTCAGGGTACATATCTCTGGTCTCCGTCTACAGAGCTTCAAAGATCATATACTGAATGTCATTATCTCCAATTTCCCAAAGACTACAATAAAAAGTCATGTCTCATTGGAGAGGGAACAGTTTGAAGTTAGTTACTCTTATTTTCGCTGAGTTATGGCACTCTAAATTTCTCTGGATCTCCAGACCTCCGCCATGGGCAAGTGTCTTGGCAAAGCCGCCTAGGGTGTGGCTAAGTCGGATACAGATTTGCAAAATTTTGGGGTCTGTATCTCTGGATCCCCGAAGGCTAGCAATGCAATCCAGGACTTGTTGGAAAGGGAACATCATGCTCTACTGACCTGTTCAGTTTGGCTTTGTCGCAGATTTTTGGAATTTTTGGATTTTTGAAGTCACATGTTGCAAAGCATTTCCTGAACCCTAAACCCATAAATAACAATGGCTGTTTACATGCAAAGATTTTTGCCAATCCGAATGAATACATTCCAATTACAGATTAAGACTGAGGTGTTTATATGAACACTTTATTCAATAATCTGATGAAAATCTTCGTTTATATGCTCACTGCAAGTAATCCGATCCAAAATGACGCACATGCGTGGAGTACCACTTAGAGTAAACGTTACCATGACAGCGAGCATCACGTGAGGTCCAGACAGAGTGAGATGAGTTTCCAGTTGGAGCGCTGGAGTTTTTAATCACTTTGAAATGATGTCAGACTCAGTGAAAACGTCCTTCACTTGTCCTTATTAAAGAAGGCCGAGAGGAAGACGTCGTGTTCTGAGACACATAAGCTGGACGTCCGTCCCACCGCCCTCTTTTAAAGATCAGAGCATAAACTTCGTCTCCTCTGCAGACCAGTTTCTGCTCCGCCATGTTGAACGGTATAAACTTTTGCCAGAGCCGGTTTATGAGTTCTGTGCTTTTGCTAGGACGTGACACACATGCGCAGAATGTACTTACATGCTCCGATTGTAAATGTAATCCGATAAAGGCGTTTACATGGCTATTATTCTTCTATTTCTATTTTTTTACAGGATTACCCACCTCGTTCAATCGGATAGAAATTGTATTCCAAATGACCTCAATTGGACTAGACTATTCCGATTGAAGTGTTTACATGGACGTATTCTATTCAGATTGAGCTATTAGTCGGATTATTAATGGATTATCAGGCTGCATGTAAACGTGGCTAATGAGGTGGAACCATAACACTGGCGTGGACCCTGCAGTCAGTGGCTAGTCAATCCATAAACAATAAACTAATACCTTTGACCTGGTGAGTGCTCTAAACTCTAAACCCTGATTTCTAAAAGGAATGCCAATGGAATCCTCAACAAGGAGTGCACCCCTATACCCCTAAATCCTTTAATCAAATCCAATCAACCCATATTGGTCACACACAGCCATACATAATATAATGTGCAGTGAAATGCCTTTATGACTATCCATTACCATGAAAAACAGTACTTTTGACATCTAGTTCCTTTAAGTGTTCATGGGGAAGGTGAAAATGACCAGCACTAGCTGTGGCATTAGAAGGCAGGCTAGGAAGGTTAATATATTTGAAAACATTTTATTATTCAAAAATAGCCAAGGGAAGTCGCTAACATTAGGCTTATGTGTTGATCAGCTAACTAGTACAACAGTGTACCCCAATGGAGACTCGTCATCTTCTACACAAGGGGTTTTCTCCTCAGTGGACGATATGCCAACATGTTAGTTTATCAGAGCAATATGAACTGTTTCTATAGATAGCTAACATTAAGATGTTAGCCTAGTTAGCGTTAGGCTATGCTATCTCTGCCTTCTCAGTCACGTCCTTAACAAAACGCTCATGATTTGGAGTAGAGAAGTGCACATTCCTATCCTTAAACCCTTACCTTTAACCCCTAACACAGATCCTATCTGGGGTAGGGACTGGTTGTGCTGCAGTGTAATGAGAGAACATTCTTCTGCTGTCGTTCTATGGTGTTCGGTTCAGAGTTGGATTCACCGGAGGAGCTGGAGAAGAAGCGAATCTGCCGTATCATCACTCGTGACTTCCCACAGTACTTTGCGGTGGTGTCCCGGATAAAGCAGGACAGTCATCTGATCGGTCCGGAGGGTGGAGTCCTGAGCAGCACGCTGGTTCCACAGGTGCAGGCCGTGTTCCCTGAAGGAGCGCTGACCAAGAGGATCCGAGTAGGCCTACAGGTGCTCATGGATATATCTGTATTTCTTCTGTATTGGGCAGTTCAGATTGTAATGTTCAATTCTAAGTCATTAAACATGGTTTTGTCAAAGGCGCAGCTATTTTGTGATTAGGTGGGGCGGAGATGGGACAGCATCGTCATACACGTCAATAACATTAGCTTCCTACCTAACGTTAGCTTAGAAAACTCATTACAAAGTGTTCACTCTTCTAGTTCAGAAATAGCTGGAGCTCAGGTAAACAAACACAACTCACTGCTGCCCTCTAAAGGTGTTCCAGTACCTGGTTTTTGGAAGACCCATGATGTCTCAAGGCGTTTTCTGCTTGCTTTTATTATGTATAATTTAATTGTGGGAGGATTAAATAATTTCTACGTTTGGATGGTTTATGCCATTACCCAGCTCTGACTTTAGATTGGTTGTTTCCTGGGGTTTGTTTTCAGGCCCAGCCTATTGGGGAGGATATGGTGAGGAAGATTCTGGGGAATAAAGCTACGTTCAGCCCCATCGTTACTCTGGAGCCCCGAAGACGGAAGTTCCACAAGCCGATCACCATGACGATCCCCATCCCCAAGAGCTCCACCAATGATGGAACCAGCATGTTTGGTGGGGACACGCCCACCCTGCGCTTACTCTGCAGCATCACAGGTTTGTTAGTATGATCATCACAATGACCTTCTCTAGGGTCACCTTCAGAGTAACTGCTATTATTATTATTATTATTATTATTGTTTGGTAAGGATAGTGTTTCTCCAGAAGGTCCTGTCTTCTTAAACCTAATGGCTTGCTCATGATTCCTCTGATTGTCTTTATCATGTATTGTGAAAATGTCTTTAAATATCGTGAAATTGTTTTTTTTCCCATATCGCCCTGACCTGCTTTGATGTGTGGGATATTCAGTGTTACTATCGTATGTCTTTCTGTTTAGGAGGCACCACTCCAGCGCAGTGGGAGGACATTACAGGATCTACTCCTCTAACCTTCATCAACCAGTGCGTCTCCTTCACCACCAACGTATCAGCCAGGTCAGCTGCTCACTTTCATCTGCTTACACACTGCTTTTTAAATGAAACAATATTGATATCGCCCCCTACACTTCCTGTAGTGTATTACAGTCTGTCAGAGTGACTGTGAGGATCATATGAACATTATAGAGGCTTTTTAAATGAAACAGTAGAAGCCATATCGCCCCCTACGCTTCCTGTAATGTATTACAGTCTGTCAGAGTGACTGTGAGGATCATATGAACATTATAGAGGCTTTTTAAATGAAACAGTAGAAGCCATATCGCCCCCTACACTTCCTGTAGTGGATTACAGTCTGTCAGAGTGACTGTGTGGATCATATGAACATTATAGAGGCTTTTTAAATGAAACAGTAGAAGCCATATCGCCCCCTACACTTCCTGTAGTGTATTACAGTCTGTCAGAGTGACTGTGAGGATCATATGAACATTATAGAGGCTTTTCAAATGAAACAGTAGAAGCCATATCGCCCCCTACACTTCCTGTAGAGTATTACAGTCTGTCAGAGTGACTGTGTGGATCATATGAACATTATAGAGGCTTTTTAAATGAAACAGTAGAAGCCATATCGCCCCCTACACTTCCTGTAGTGTATTACAGTCTGTCAGAGTGACTGTGTGGATCATATGAACATTATAGAGCTTTTTAAATGAAACAGTAGAAGCCGTATCGCCCCCTACGCTTCCTGTAGTGTATTACAGTCTGTCAGAATGACTTTTTAAATGAAACAGCTGCAGTAATGTTGATGTTTGGTCTTGTGTTTCAGGTTCTGGCTGATTGACTGCCGTCAGACTCAGGAGTCAGTGAATTTCTCCACGCAGGTTTACCGTGAGATCATCTGCGTTCCCTACATGGCCAAATTCGTCATCTTCGCCAAAACGTTGGACCCCATTGAGGCGCGACTGCGCTGCTTCTGCATGACCGACGATAAGATGGACAAAACCCTGGAGCAGCAGGAGAATTTCACCGAGGTGGCACGCAGCAGAGATGTCGAGGTATGACGATGCAGCATAGAAGAGAGGATGATGGGAAATGTAGTCCCTGTGTCTGTGCATCTCCCACACAGAGGTGGAGTTTGAGTTTTGTCTTTTATGTACAAACTCAGACCAAAAACATGAACTGAACTTCACCATATAGCTAAACTTAGATAAACATGTCTTCAATTCGAAGATCTTTTGCTTTTTTCTCTTTTGGGTCAAAAAACTAAAATTGCCACTTTAGACCATTTTTGGATAAATATTTCTGATCCTCAGCCACTACTGATAACTTAACTTCTACATTAAATTATAAAGAAACTTTAAAAACTATAAAAAAAAGGTCTTTCAGTATTTAATTCTTAATATCAGAGAACACAATGTTAATTTTCAAAGCTACGCTGATGATAATTAGCTATAATTTTCTTTTGAACTGAATGACATACACACTCCCAGCTCCCTGACCACAAATAATCAAAACAGATAAGTCAGAAATACTCTTATTTGGCCCTTAAGCTGGAGAGACACACCCTCTGCTAGGCCTGGAAATCTGATTCATCAGAGTGAAATGTGGCTAACGAGTTTGGGTGTAATTTTAGACTCTGATTTAAGTTTAACGTGACAGAACAGTCCACTAAGAAACATCAACAAAGTATGTTTTTAATCCAACTGGATGCTGAGAAGCTCATTCACGCCTGTATTTCGAGTAGACTGGACTACCGTAATGCTCTGTTTACTGCTCTTCCAAAAGAGTCACGCTAATTCAGAATGTGCCTCCAGAGTTTTAACCCAAACTAGGGAGAGAGCGCGTTACTCCGGCTCTAGATACACTGAGCTCAAAGCTCTAAACGGTTTACCACCTTCTTATATGACTGAGTCTCTGTCGTTTTATGTTCCTACTCGAGCCCTCAGGTCCTCCACAGCAGGTCTGTTAGACACTCTAGAATCCCTTGAAATGAATCTGGGAAGCAGTTTTAATCCACTGCACACCCAAACTGTGGAAAACTGCACCAAAAAATATTCAGGAGGCACAGCAGACATTTTAAACAACAGCTTAAAACATTCCACTATTAACAATATGATTTTGTTATTTGTGCATTTATTTATGTTATCTATTCTTTTAATTATGTTTCTTTTAAATAGTTTTCTTACTGTTTTTAAATTGTTTTTTCTGTCTTTTCTGGTTTTTTTTTTTGGATTGGGTAGGTTTTTTTGTATATATATATTTCCATTCAGAACATTTTACTCTTTTGAAAAGTTATGATGATTGAAATGAAGAGTAAATGCAGATGTTTCTGCACTGTTTCCAGCTCACTATTCAAATTTAAGCACATTTGTGAAGTTAATCATATTGAGATCTTTGTAAAAAAGGTCAGATTGTTTTTAATCTCTTCCATTGAAGTTTGTGTTCAGATGGATTTGATCTACTGATTTATAATTTAATTTTCCACATAATTTTCACCATAAATGCTCCAATTTGCCAGCTTAACCAGAAGCATTTTAAGATTTTTAACCTTTTCAGTTTTTACATGATAAAGCAGTTTCCATTGTGGCCAGTAGGGGGGGGGCAGTGCAGTCTCAGCTCAAATAGTTCTTTACATGGTGAAAAGGTTCTTCAGATTGATGAAGAATGTGTTGTATATGTTTTTTTTTGAGAAGGGTTCTGCTGTTGTTAGGATGCCAAGCTTCTATACAACAGCAGAACCCTTTCTGGTGCTGTATAGAACCCTTTACAACACAATTTCCAATAATCTGAAGATCCATTTCAGCATGCAGAGAACCATTTAAGCATGCACATGGTTCTTTGAGTGTTCATGGTTCTGTATGGAACCATTGGATTGTGAGTGATTGGAGTCGTGCAGCTTGAGTGCATGCTGTCCTTAAAGCAGAAGGACACGCCACCAAACACTAAGAAATTCTGAAATGCATGTTCAAGTTTCAAAGATTCTGCTGTTCCCTCTGATAAAATCATTTGTAATGAAAGACTTGATATGCAAAGTAGAGCCATTTTCACTGGAGCTCTCAGACTTCTGGATATTTCATCACTGTCCAAAGAAAAACAACATCCCCAAAACTTTTGTCTTTACTTTTAATGTAAGTTAAGGTAAAGAAATTTGATATCTGTTGAAATTTACACACTATGTAAAGGGCAGCTGTGTGATCATCATACAGAAGACTGAATGGTGGAGATTCTTGTTTCTTTGTGGACGGCGATGATATGTTAATATGTACCTGTATGAATTATAATCTGTACAGTATGTGAAGGAGCTCTGACTCTCCTGCAGGTTCTGGAAGGAAAGCCCATCTTCGCCGACTGCTTCGGAAACCTGGTGCCTCTGACCAAAAGTGGGCAGCACCATGTGTTCAGCTTCTATGCCTTCAAGGAGAACAGACTCTCGCTCTTCATTAAGGTCCCGTCCCACCTCCTCACACTCACACTGCTGTAGAGGAAGATAACACACTCAGGGTTTTACAGCTCGTATGAAAAGGACGCTGACGGCTCTTTGATGTGATTCATCCATCCATTTATCGGTCATCTGATCGTTTGCGCTGTTTATTGATTGGTGCCTTTCTGAACAGATTCGTGACACCGCGCAGGAGCCCTGCGGCCGATTATCCTTCACCAAGGAGCCGAGGACTTACCGCAGTCTTACCCACAATGCCATCTGCAACCTCAACATTACACTTCCTGTTTACTCAAAGGTACAAAAGAAGGTGGAACAGCATTGACATTAATTAATTGCATTTAATAATATGATGTAATAACTAATATATAATATAATGCGATGTGATAATATATTGTAATAACTACTAATATAATGTAATGTACTAATATAATGTATATAACTAATAATATGGTATAAGGTAATATGATAATAAAATGTAATAGCTACTAATATACTATAAAGCAACTTAATAATATAATGTAATAACTATTAATATTATACAGTGTAATGTGATAAAATAATGTATTATTACTAATATAATGTAATGTGATAATAACATATAATAACAGATATTAGACTATAATGTAATGTAATATAATGTAATAACAACTGATATAATCCACTGTAATGTGATAATAAAATGTAATAACTGATAATATACTATAATGTAACAATATAATATAAAAATAAAATATGATTTAATGTAATGTAATAATATGATATAAGAATTAATAATATAATTCAATGTAATGTGATACTAAAATGTAATAACTAATAATATAATGTAATAATAAAACATAAGAATTAGTAATGTAATACAATGTAATGTAATAATATAATGTAAGAAATAATAATATTACTAATAATGAAATTATTGCTTTTCTACTTTGTTCTTTCAAGGAATCTGATTCAGACCAGGACGTTGATGAAGAGGTAACCCTGCCCGTGCTTTTTTTTTTGCTTGTTTGTAATTTATTGGTAAATGTATCTAATTTCAGCAGAATTATTACACAGTAATTCATTATTACAGAATTATTATCATTTATGAAGTGTACTTTAAACACTGATGACTTTTCTATTTTAACCATTTTCTTCCTTTTTCAGAGCGACAAGACTCATGAGAAATGTAAGCAATTACTATTCTATGATTACTATATAACTGAAATACAAACATGCTACTTTAATCTCTTAGCAAGCCCTGTTTGACTGAGCAAAGTAGTTTAACTGGATCCTAGGTTGCTGTGCTATGGCTGATGAGCATTTTCTCCTCCATCTTTATGTTGTATTTTGCTCTGCTCATAACTCACGCCACCCCACTGAGCGCAACATCAGTCATATATATCGCTGTGTCAGAAGAAAACCTCGTATTTCCATTTTTGTCGTTTTTCAGTTTTTGACATAATTTGAAAATGTCTAATACCCTTTTACATTGTGTGTAAATTTCCTGATGAAAGGACCAAAAGAAACGGCCCAAAACGACTTGAAAAAATTCTGGTTCCATTGACTTTCCTTCTCCTGTAAAGTTTCCATTTTGGAGATACAAGGTTTTCTTCCAACAACAGCGATATGTGTATGTATATAACTACAATGTATATATATCGCTGCTGTCGGAACTAAACCTCTTGTCTCATTGTTGCCTGTTGTCCTTTACATTGTGTGTAAATTTCATGATGAAAGGACCAAAAGAAACGGCCCAAAATTACTTGGAAAAAAAAATTTGATTACATTGACTTACTTTAAAAGTAAAGTATGTTTTATGTTTTTTTTTCTCCTGCAAAGTTACTGTTGTGGGTGTACGAGGTTTAGTTCAGACAGTGGCATATATATATATTCGGCATGCAGATAAAACACGACTGATGGCTTGAACAAGATCAGGTCGTGTGTTTACAGCATCTCTGTGTGAGTTACACACCTGCTGATCTGAGTATAAACGTATGGCGAATATCATAATTTGTCTAATTTTTTAAACTCAGGGTTGGAATACATCCCCACGTCCTTTCTCAGCTGTGAACGCTGGACACATTTGCCTAAATTGAAATCACTGATTTCATTTGCTTGTCAGATGTCGTACTGGCAGTGTTGGGGTACTTAGTCAAAAAACTAACCCTTAGGGCTGATTACTCCTCTCCTCTGTACTCAGATTACTTTACTGATTACTTCCTGGAAAAAAGTAACCTCACCTCTAACGAAAGTGCTCGACTGAAAGTCGAAATTCAGGACACTCAACTAATAGAAACTAAAAATAGAAACTTGGGGCAGTCGTGGGCTGGAGGTTAGGGAACCAGCCTTGTGACCGGAACATTGCCGGTTCGATCCCCGAACCGTCAGTATGTGACAGAGGTGCCCTTGAGCAAGACACCTAACCCCCAAACTGCTCCCCGGGCGCTGTGGATAGGGCTGCCCACCGCTCGGGGCAAGCGTGCTCACTGCCCCCTAGTGTGTGTGTTCACTAGTGTGTATGTGGTGTTTCACTGCATGGATGGGTTAAAATGCGGAGGTGAAATTTCCCCGTTGTGGGACTAATAAGGGTCACTCAATCTAATCTGAAAGAATTGTTATTTAACATAACTTTGCTGTTTATTTTTTATCGGAGAGTTGATAGAAGAGAGAGAGGACTAATTCAGTTTTAAACAGCTTGCTGAATTATATCAAATGTAAATGTGACGTTTTCACTTTACTGTTAAAACAGTGGATTATTGTTGGGTGTTAAGTCTTTCGTCTGCAGAGTAAATTCTGTGAATTCTCTAAATAAATTCTTATATCAGAACGATTAATGTTCCAAAGCGTTTAAGATAAAGAAAATACCAAATGTAGGCCTGAGGTTTAACTTTTTGTCTATTATTTTTATAATAATTCAAATCCTTTGTTAAGTATTAGCTTTTAGCACTTCGTCGCATACCTACACTCTAAAACAAGAGAGTTCTTTAGTGGTTCTATATAGAACCTTGAACACTCAAAGAACAGTTTTTATACTTAAATGATTATTTGCATGGTGAAATTGTTCTTCAGATTGATGGAGATTGTTGTGTTTGGTTCTATATAGAACCTTTTCAAAAAGGGTTCTGCTATTATTAGGATGTCAAGCTTGAATACAACAGCAGAAACCTTTTTGGTGCTTTATAGAACCCTTTACAACATATTCTCCATCAATTTGGAGAACAATTTCACCATGCAGAGAACCATTCAAGCACGCAAATGGTTCTTTGAGTGTCCATGGTTCTATATAGAACTATTGGGCCTAATTCACCAACCATTTTTAAGAAGAAATTTCTTCTTAAAACCCATTTACGCAGTTTTCACGAAGATTCTGACATTCACTGATGTTTTCTTATTTGGGATTTGTTCGTAAGTAAGAACAGAATCCACACACACTCAAGAGCGCAAAGGTGAGAACAGTTTTGTGCTTTAATGAATTTGACGTAGACTTTTTTTTAGGACGTTTCTCAAGAACACATTTAAGAACAAACTTAGGAAGTACTGCAGAATAAGGCCCATGTTTTTTGACTAAAGAACCCTTAAAGAACCATCTTCTTTAAGCGTGTATTTAATCTTTTGCTTTTTTTTTTTTGGCTGAAAACTGAAATTGCCACTTTGGACCATTTTTGGGTGAAAATTTTGGATCCTCAGCCACTACTGATAACTTTACTTCTGCAAGAAAGGAAAACACAAATAGTTTGGTCCACGTCACCCCCAACACTGCTTGTTTCATGTACAACTGCATGGACACTGGTATCTCGCTTTGCATGGAAATAACTTGACTTACACATGTTATATGTGTGCTTGTTAGACCTGTGTGTGTGTGTTCCTTCTACTTTGTGCCTATTTATTATTTTATGTTTTCGAGGCACTTTTATTTTTTTGTTATTCTCTTGTGTTCCCTTAGTTCTTTTTTTCATTCATCAATGTCACTGTGCTTTCACTGGACCAATCATGTGTTCAGATACTTGATTTTTCACTAGACTGAGGACTGAAAATGCCATAGCACCAGAGGATTTAAAGCGTAACTGAAGTGTGTGTGTAGTGTCTGCCTAAAAGAGTTTGTTTTAAAGGCCAGAGTTCACCGACAGGACAAACACAAATGTCTGATCAGTGTGCTAAACCTATGTTTGATTGTTAGAACGTTTTCTTCTTGTTCTTGCTCTTGATTTGGCTTGACTTTTTCTAGACAGTATATGTGTTTGTCTGGTCAGTGTATTCTGGCTTTAAGGGCTCGATGTGAAAATCATGGGATTATTTGGTGTTCAATGTCTGTTTCTGTTGGCATGAGTTCTTCATGTCGAGAACAATCTTGAGATGCCTCTGTGGCTCTGTTCCGCTCTGTTCCAGATTGCTTTGTCCATTTGTTTTTCTTTGTTTTGTATTCAGCTTTCTGTGTCAGTCTACCTCTCAACTCTTCCTTCTTTCATGCGTATGAATGGGTACTCTTATATAACATGTTTAAGCAAGTTATTTCCTGCCCATTGTGTGCCAGCTCTTCCTTCTGCTTTGCTTAGCTGCTCCCATGCCAACCCAAATTCCCCAAACCCATCACTCCAATCTAGTGACTTTCTAATCTGTCAGCTTCACCACACTTCTGTCAATCCTCTCAACTGAAGATTTATTGTATTGCTCCTGCCCTGACCAGTTTTCCAATGTCTTTTGTCCTCTTCATTTCCCTTTTGTTCTTTAAATCCATTTTGCTCTCAAATTGAAGATGAGGATGAAACAGAATCTACAGAACTTTCCATCTTACACACACAAATGGTTCATGATCCAGCCACACTCGCAAGTCCAGACCTTCTCTCAGATGTGTCTGATATGAAGCAAGACCTGATCAGAATGTCCACCATTCTGATCACTGACATGTCAGAGCAGTCACTGGTTGCAGATGGAGAAGAAAAAATAAAAACAGGCATTGCTAGTGAGGAGGCTGAGGAGCCTTTTGAGATAGTGGAAAAAGTTAAAGAGGACCTGGAGAAGGTAGGCGAGATTTTGCGTGTTGGAGCGTTTGGTGAAACAGAGAGTGAAGAAACCGTAAGAGAATCAAAGTCTAGAGAGGAGGACTGGGTACTGTGTAGTAACAAAGCTTTTGAGGAAACAAAAAGTAAGGAGATTGTTTGTGTTCAAGAACCTTTACTCACAGAGGTCAGAATCACAAGAGCCACTGACTCCAGTTCCCCACCCAGGAAGGATGCGTCTGAAATGGTTTCGCATCTTACCACTGACTTAGAGACCTATCTCCAGGAGATTCCTGTGGGGGCTCATCATGTTCAAGAAGGGGAGATTGTTGAAGAAACATTTACAGAGGTTGTGCTACCACGAGAGCGGAGGCGTCATCCTCCGAAAATCAAAAAACCAGCAAGAAGGAAACTTAAAGAGAGAGAATTTGCGAGTGGTAGCTCAGAAGATGAACTTGAAAGAATGAGTTCTGAAGAATCGCTGGATGGAGACACAGTTCTTGGAGATGCCGAGGTAGTGCCTGGACCAGTTCCTGTGTCCCCCAAAGTTGTGGAGACTCCCATAGGCTCCATCAAGGACAGAGTCAAAGCACTTCAAAAGAAAGTGGAAGAGGAGGAAAAGGAAGAGAGCCTCAAGAAACAGGTTCGACAGGAATCCAAACAAATGACCACTGTCCAGAGCAGGATCATGAGAGACATGGATGAATCATGCACAGTGCTTCCTAAATCACCCAAATCTCCACGATCCCAGACTGAGAGAATAGAAGAGACAATGTCAGTGAGAGAGCTGATGAAAGCATTTCAAACTGGGCAGGACCCGTCAAAGAGCAAGTCTGGTCTTTTTGAACACAAAGCTATAACTGATCTAGCTATTACTTCTACAGTGACTGCATCTCAGGATACCCAGGATAGTCAAATCCTAGAAACTCAGCAGTCAAAGCTAAAGACTGGAGAATCATCACATAATGTTATTGGCCAGTATCAACAGACAGTGATTAGTGATGAAATTGTACATGGACAGTCAGTGACTACCTCAGAAGATTATAGTACCAGTCAAAACATTATTCAAACAATTGTACAAGTAGTACCGTCAGATATTTCACCCAGTGACCAGGAAGATTTTAGACTGAAGAGACTGCACACTCCGGAAAAAATAGTCATTCAAATTGGAGAATCATCTCAAGTACCA